CCATTACGTTTCAAACAGTCCCCGAGTAGACAGAGCTTCTCATTGAAGTGTTATAATCCAAAAAAGGTTGGGAACCATCAAGTTTATAAAAAGAACAACAGTTGGATATTGAACCTCGTTTCACAATCCGATTTGAGATTTCCTCACAGAGCTCAAGTGAACTGGACTCAGTCTGCCTCACTCTCATGAATGACCCTTTCTGAATATGAAGCCTACGGTAGTAGAGCTGGAGTCGAGGGTTTTTTGCTGTTTTGCTGGCTTTTGATGTGAACACAAGTCAATTATTAGCCCATCAATGCCACATGGTACCACGCTAAATAATGACAAACAGAAATCTGGATAAGTTCTGTTATTTGTTTGAGCAAGAGCACTACACACACATGTGTTACTCCAAAGGAAAACAAGCAATCATTCTAAAATCATGCTTTATTATAGGAAGTAGACGATGATCAAATATTGTTTGGTCGTACAAAATGGATCAAAAACGTCCTTTTCCCAGTGAGTTTACCATTTTTTCTACTAACAACTGTATATTTAAGAAATGGTCATAACCAATGTAAAAGAAAACAAAAAAAACAATGTATGATGAAGGGATAATCATTGATAAACTGACTGTTTCACTTGTTGAACAGGTGCTGCCAGACCGGGATGGGAAGAGGTGCATGTTTTGTCTGAAAACCCTCTCCAAGACTTATGAGATGAGCGCCTCAGACACCAAACAGAGACAGGAGTGGACTACAGGTCAGAGGAGACTCATATTTGCTGATAACGTTCACTAATAAGTCATGGATTGATCTTAAAAGCTTCATCTTCATCTTCTTCACAGCCATTCAAACAGCCATCAGGCTGCATGTGGAAGGGAAAAAGTCCCTCCACAAAGATCTGAAGCTGAAGCGGCGTGAACAGCGGGAGCAGCGGGAGAAGAGGCGACAGGCCAAGGAGGAAGAGCTGCAGAGGCTGCGGGCCCTGCAGGAGGAGCGGGAGCGTAAGCTGGCAGAGCTAGACCTCCTGAAGGAGGCGCAAAAGCAGGCTCAGGCACTCCTGGAGCAGGACGAGCAGAGGAGGCGTCAGCAGCACGAACAACTCCAGCGGGCCCTGGAGATCCAACTGCGAGAGGCTGAGGAGGTGAGAGAGGAGGCAAAGAAGTAGAAAATAAGAGTTTGAATTAAGTCACAGAAAGATATCAGTGTTGATTCCTGTGCTTCTTGCTGTGTATCTCAAGGCCCGGGTCAGTATGCAGGCAGAGATGGCTCTGAAAGAGGAGGAAGCAGAGAGGCAGAGGAAGAGGATCCAGGAACTGGAGGAGATGCAGAAGCGTTTGGAGGAAGCGCTGCAGCAGGAGATCAAAGCCAGGCTGGATGAGGAGGCCTTCCGCTACGCTCAAGCAGGGTAGAGTGTTATATATCACCACCCATCTCTGTTGACAGTCAATCTAACATCTCTGTTAGATTGACTATAAACACTTTCACAGCGCCATAAGAAGTCAGACATTTATTTGTGAGCTGTAAGGAGGGAGGTGCATTTGTGGGCAGACGGCAGATATTAAGCTCAGCTGCAAAAAGGAGTTCATGTTGCGTTATGTTCCTGAGGAAGTTGAGCTACCAACAGAGGAAGTTGTTTAATGTTACCATGTGCAAATAAAGAATACACAGCAGCAGTATGGGTTAGAGGATTTAAAGGATATAGACATAAGCTGTGAATATATAGTACAGGTCTAATATTAATAATGGGCCTGATTTTTAATTTCTTTTAGAAAATATAATCTTTTTTTTGTGTTCTCCATCCAGGTTATTGGCTGAGGAGGAGGAGAAAATGAAGGCCCTGATGTCCCTGCAGGAGGAACAAGAGGAGTATATCCTGAAGACACAGCGGGAGAAGCAGGAGCTGAAACAGGAAATGGAGGTCAAATCCCGGGCCCTGGATGAGGCGCAGAGGCAGCTGGAGGAGGTCCGCGCCAATCGGCACCGGGTTGACCAGGACGTAGTGGTAAGAACCAAAAAATAAAGACCTCACTGACAATTATCATCAAAGCTACATTTAACTGGGACCAAAGGGGTCTCTTATCTCTAGTGTGATAAATAGCATCAGCTGCTTGATTTTAATTTTATTTTGTACACCTATTTAGTTGAATTACAACCCTGTTATGAGTTCATTATTATTAATAATTTTATTTATTCAGTTTTGTAAACCTTCAGTTAACGAAGTGAGAGCCTGCTGAGATTTAAAATCTCCTTTACAAAGATGACAGAGCCAAGATAGCGGCATGTAGTTGCAGAGAGAGCAGTATGACACAGACATTAATTAAACTAAACAGACGAGTAAGTGGGATGTTACATCTGCTGTCCATACCCCTGTATTATAACTGTCAGTATGTTTTTCTCTTTAATGGGACAGAACTTTGTAACTTTGATAGGAGAAGATTCTTATTACTGATATTTATTAGTTGTGGTTAGCATTAATGCTAACAGGTGTTCTCTGATAGGCTGCCCAGAGGAAACTTCGCCAGGCGAGCACCAACGTCAAACACTGGAACGTCCAGATGAACAGACTGATGCGACCGATCGGACCAGGCGGTATGTGTCCCCTTCTGCATGTGTAAATAATAAAACTAATGATGGCTGGTAGTGTGCACGCTGGTTCACTGTCGTAACTCACTGGGACATTTGAATGAAATGGAGCCTCATTAATATTATTATATTATTAGTAACACCTGTGCGTTTCCTGCTATTGCCAAGTTTTCATCCAAATGTAACGCAAATTTCAACCAAATTTACAGACCATCAGCTAAATTAATGTGAAATACTGCATGTTTCCATCCACTATAGTTAATTATTACAGTGATTATTTCCCTAGTATGTACTATAGGTTACTAAATGCCAGTGTTAAATGCCATGACTGTGGTTGGGTTGACATTTAACGTTGCTTCAAGTAAGGACTAGTGTGACACCATTTTCTTAGATCACTGACTAGAGAGCATCTTCCTCTCTAAGTTACAGACCTCAGTCTGACACAATTTGCCTGCTGTAAGCATTTTCTTCATTTTCTGAAGTATCTATTTTGTGCCTGTCTTTGCGTTTAGAGAAGAGACCGTCGTTGGGGAGCTCTTACTCAAGCTTCCAGATCCCGACACAGAGAGATCCCGGGCTGCGTCTCAGACGGAGATCAGGATCGGAGGATCAGGACGAGGAGAGCAAAGAAAACGTTGACAACAGAGCTGAATGTGATCTAGAGAAACGCCACTCCCACGCCTCTAATGGCGACATGGACATTCCCTAAAACTATGAATCAGAGAGGCTGCATAGATCACCTCTGACAGGAAGGGCAAGAGGCCGACTGTCTAATGTGTGAACCATATAAAAACAGTGGAACATCTACACTTAAAACTGAATTTACAGTACTAGCATTTCTATTAAATGTTGAATTTACTGACGTCATTTCACAGACAGCAGCAACATTTTAATGAGGAGAGTTTACTGCTCGACTAATGCTTCGACTGCAATCTGTGTGAGGTCTGTTCTGGACATAAACGATACCTCAGTGCAAAGAAAATGAGCCGTAAGAAAGATCCTGAAAGTACAATGTATGTTGTGATGTTTAAAGGCTAAAACTTACATACAGTGCAAGGAAGCTCGTTTGTTTAGCTCTGTAATATAAACACGTAATGTTTCATTTTTATATATGTATTTGTTCTGAGGATGGAGGGTGGCTTGACTTTTTGATGTAAAAAAGTTCAGTGTTACAGTTTACCACCATTTCAGTCAGTGTCAGTGTCAGCCCAGATAAACAGGAAAGGGAGAGAGAGAGAGAGAAACGCTCATCTAACTTCCTGTTTCCACAGCTAGTTAACATAATTGTAAATAAAAGAGTGAATTGATGCCTTAATCTGATTACTGCCTGTATCTGTACTCTGTTAAATTATGTGCAGTGCAATTCAAAGAAATTGTAACCTTCACTTCCAATAAAATCTCAATTGATACTTAAGTACACAGTGAGTAATCACTAAAATCATATTTACATTAAATAAGTTATTAAATTAACATGTTAGTATTTGAATGAGACCACACAATGGAACAAGTTGAAGCTCACTCTGCTGAATTTGCTGATTCCACGTCCGCTTTAGTTTGAATTTGCGTCTGCCTCATTTGCTCAGTATAAACGTGTGTCATCTCTGACTAATATGACAGCTCCTCCTGATATAAATCTTGACTCATTTGAGCGAACAGAGACATCCACTGACAAACGGCATATACTGCACGTTGGCTGGATTCATTTATGTAATCCATAAAGTTTTATTGTCTAATTCTGATCTCTCCTTTACAATAATTCATATTGCACAAATAGCAATGAAGTATGTTTTCTTCTATAAGTTATATCATGTTAAAAGAATTAACAAAGCAGCAACAGATTGCACAGAAGGAGCAGGTAGCAGATGGCTTTAATAGTAGTTATTTTTATAAAGCAGCACTTATCTAAAACCATGTTATTTATGAATGTAAATGGTTTAAAACATTAAACATTTGAATGTGCATATCATGGCCTGTTTAACCTGCTAGTGTGACACCATTTTCTTAGATCACTGAATAAACAGATGATGGTAATATTCTGTAAATATACTCCCTGGTTTATTTATTTTTAAACTAGTGAATTCTCTATTTCAGCATCTTTTAGGAACAGTTCTCTGCTTTAATCAAGTCTTGATATTGGAAATTTGGCTGGATTTATTTATTTATCTATTTAAACAAAATGAAGCCACATAGAGCTTTTTAGTTTCAGTACAGATGAAGAATAAATTGTTGCAGATTACAGAAACAACAGTGTTTTAGTGTTAACAGAGACCTTGACTCCTCAGAAAGCTGTGTATATGTGTGTGTGTGTGTGTGTGTGTGTGTGTGTGTGTGTGTGTGTGAGAGAGAGAGAGAGAGAGAGAGAGAGAGAGAGAGAGAGAGAGAGAGAGAGGGCGCTGTGTACTGGCATGTGACGATGGAGGAGGAGGAGGAGGAGGGGGGGAGAGTGAAGCAAAGCAAAGCAAAGCTAGGAGCAACAAGGAGAGAGTCGGGGAGGGATTATCAGTGAACTATGCTTATCTACATGTGATATGGTAGCAAACGTGTCCACATAGTTGTTCTTTACTCCGCGGAGCTCAGCGGTCTGTCAGCCTCGGTCGGCACACACACACACACACACACACACACACACACACACACACGAAGGCCCTGAGCCAGTGTTAAGTTTATGTTAGCAGTCTGACGTTAGCTCCCGCTGCTAAACAACTTGTCAGCAGCCGATCGATCGATCGATCCTGGACGGGACCTGCTTTTCTCTAGTAACCTGTTTGTTTCCAATGCCCGGCTGGTAACTTATCGTAGAGTAAAAAGACCTCCTGAACCAGCAGCACTATTGTGGAGAGGTAAGCTAAAGTTGGGACGCCAGCTAACGTTATTTAAGGCACACACACACACACACACACACACACACACACACACACACACACACACACACACAGGGGAATGTGGGTCAGCCACGCTAACAGCTAGTAGTAGTCAATATTCAAGGTTAGTAGCTAACTAGCTAAGTCCGCTAGCCGTGCCGACTCTCTTCGACGGCGGAGCGACAGGGGTAAAGCTGCTCTCTTTTATTCATCTAATATCGCTTTCTTCTTGAGAAAGGTTAGCCGTGTCTGTGTGTTAGCCGTCCTGTCATTTGTTCGATGCTCATATCCAGTTACAAGCCCTGTCAGTGACTCAGTTCACAGTAATATTAGCAGATATTTTCGAGAACCAGTGTGACAGGTTGGCAAGTCTTAACAGTCCGAGTTAATCTCTGGAGATCTTTTTTATTTATTTATTACAAAAACCTTATGAAAACAAAGTTAAGACTTAGAGCCACCATGTTATCACATTGTGTTCATTAATACAAACTTTAATAAGTAGAGGCTGTGGGTGTTTTTGTTGGTTAGCTGCAAACATGGACGCATTAATCCACTAGGGGGCCGCGGGGCAAATATTTAACCCCCCACCCCCAAAGCCCTCTCCCCTACTGCCTCCACCAGCGATCAACACTGCTCAGTGTGTACATAGTGCATGCACCCTGTCCCCTTAAAGCACCCAACAAGTACACTGTGCACCCTACCATGGGACTGAGGCAAACAATAATACAGATGTCTCCCAGCTTCAACAGAGACAACGTTTACTTTATAAGATAGTGGAGAACAGACTGAAATGTTTAGGACACATTCATGTTCAGACCCTTAAAAAACTGTGGTTGGCTGAGGAATCTTGCGTTGTGAGGCCTGTGTGTTCACAGAAATGGGGCCCTAATTTGTGTTCAGACTTGTTTGTAGTTTAGATTGTGTCTGTATAGACACATATTTTGATTGGAAATGAGTAAAATAGAGGTGTTTGATGTAAACACGTCTATAATCAGAGATTTTGCCATACCGGTTATACTTTGGTAGCTGTCTTGATATTATCTCTGGGTGTATTCTTACTAACCGGTGAGCGGCAGTGCTTTGTGGCTGTATTGGATTTTTACTTTGTTGATTATTCACCTTGCTGCATTAACCATAGATAAACATCCCTGACTGGTTATGTCATGCATATCACACATCCCTTCTAGTAAGTCCGTCTTCAGGCAAAACTGGGGCATTCAGGGCTCTTAATGTTAAGGGGCCCCTGCTTGTCTGTTTCGCTTGCCTAGCGAGTAATCCAGGCATGCCTACACAGCATGTGTATATCATGTCATAAGCCTATTACTATCAAGGACATTCCCTGGCTGCTCAAACACAACCAGTAGTAATGGACTGACTCGGGGGAAAGGACACCTAAATAAACACACTTTTTTATCAGTGTGCTTACATGGAAGATGGACATTTAAGGGAGCATTTTGGCTCTGTAATGTGTTATGACAAGCTTTACGATCAGTTCGGCTGGTGACTGGTCACTGGGATTGTTGGACTGTTAACTTCTCGCATGCTGTATATGTAGACGTTTGAGTCCGGTTAACAGTTGAGTGGTCATTCTGGCTCTGTGTGTATTAATCCACGTGTTAAGGACAATTTACGGATTTTAATATTGGGTGTTTAAAACAAAGTATTTCATTCTTTAATAGTGGAGCTATGATGGCAACGTGACAGGAGGGGAGCCGCTGAGTCAGCTTCAACAGGAACCATGGAAGGGTTTCAACAAACTGCTACAGAGCAGCACGACAGGGTGAATGGCTACTGCGAGCCCAAATCTCCCCAGGACGTGGCTGATGTCAGGTGGACGCCGCCAGAGGGAGAGTCTGGAGGCTCAGACAGCTGTGGGGGGACGAGTGTGTCGGAGCTGACGGACCTGCAAGAGTTGAAGGCCAGGGAAAGCGAAGATGAGGAGGACAAGGAGGACAAGGAGAGGGATGTAGTTCCTGCTTCTAAAGGCCTGAAAGGGGACCAGAAGAAAAAAGAGAAGGAGAGTTTGGATCAGGAGGAGAACAGCAAGAAAAACAGCAGTGCAGCAACCAGCTACACAGGTAAGACTTTTATCTATGAGATATTTAGATGGCAGATAATTCTTGAGTCTCAATATTCATGCCTTTTTTTTTATGCAGACCTGTCACATACCTCGTCGCCCTCGCTGTCAGAACAGCTGCGTCTAGGGCGAGAAGACAGCACAGGGTCTGGGATCAGCGTGGAGTGTAAGGTCTGTGGGGACAAGGCCTCTGGCTTCCACTATGGCGTCCACGCCTGCGAGGGTTGCAAGGTAATACAGTGTGTGCAGAACAGTAGCTAAATAAAATGACAATGTTTGATCACAGCCATTTTGTTGCTCTCTTGAGTTGCTGAACCGGTTGTGTTGTTTCTTACTCAGGGCTTTTTCCGGCGAACCGTGCGGATGAAACTGGAATATGATCGCTGTGAGCGTTCCTGCAAGATTCAGAAGAAGAATCGTAACAAGTGCCAATATTGTCGCTTCCAGAAGTGCCTGTCTTTGGGAATGTCCCATGATGGTGAGATGGAAATATTTTAAATATGTATTTAAATAAATGTCAAATAAATAAAGCCATGTTATTAATTATAAATAATTAAGCACATTCTTTTTACAGATCTAATGTTTCAATGGAAATTAAATTTAATGAGTTGAGTTTAACTTATCAGTCATCTGATTTGAGTAACAAACCTGCTAATATATTTCAGTGCCTTTCTAATCTCCTTTGAAGGTTTTTTTTTGTCTGTTTGGGAGGTGGAGAACGTGATTTTCAAGGCTACCTATATATAGCCTGACATTTTTCTGAAGTCTCATTACATTTTTAAACATGCAGTGTCTCTGGGTATTTTGCTAACTTGGAAACTGTTAACAAAACAAAAGTAGGTATCAAAACCCAGTCATGGTACTGACAAAGTGATTTACTCCTAAATTCTTCTCTCAAAATAAGACCAGCATCTGTGTGTGTTTGTGCAGCGATCCGATATGGACGTATGCCTGAGGCGGAGAGGAAAAAGCTGGTGGCAGGTCTGCTTGCAGAGGAGCAAAACCACGGCAAACCAGGTGGCTCAGACCTGAAGACCTTGGCCAAACAAGTCAACACAGCCTACCTGAAGAACCTCAGTATGACCAAGAAGAGGGCTCGCAGCATCCTGATGGGCAAAACCAGCAGCACCTCGGTATGCTCCAGTTTCAGAACAGCTCCTCTGACCTGACCAGCCTGGTTTTACATATATATGGATATATAACTATTAAGTAATACATGGTCATCATAGGGGCAAATCACAGGAATATATTGTTACATCTGTTGTCGGGGGACTGAACCCTGACTCTTAACTGCAATCTGAATTACAGAACCACAAAGTACCTGTTTATATATAATCCATTGTTGTGTTTTATGCTAATCCTCGAAGTGTCATACCTTCCTTGAATATTCTAGTTATAATTTTTGCCTCCTTTTTCAGCCGTTTGTGATCTACGATGTGGACACGCTGTGGAAGGCAGAAAGTGGTTTGGTATGGAGCCAGTTAGTTCCAGGTGCGCCCCTGACCAAGGAGATTGGGGTCCATGTGTTCTACCGCTGCCAATGCACCACGGTGGAGACTGTGCGGGAGCTCACCGAGTTTGCCAAGTGCATTCCAGGGTTTGTGGACCTCTTCCTTAATGACCAGGTGAGTCACTGTCAGCCCATACAGTACGATGAATTGTATGTGGCTGTCGGGCACTAATGTACAATTGTCTGTGTGCTTTCTGCAGGTGACTTTGCTGAAATATGGTGTGCACGAGGCTATTTTTGCCATGCTGCCCTCTCTCATGAACAAAGATGGGCTGTTGGTGGCCAATGGTAAAGGCTTCGTGACCAGGGAGTTCCTGCGCAGCTTAAGAAAGCCCTTCAGTGAGATCATGGAGCCCAAGTTTGAGTTTGCCGTCAAGTTTAATGCTCTGGAGTTGGATGACAGCGACCTGGCCCTGTTTGTTGCTGCCATTATTCTCTGTGGAGGTGAGACAGAAGGGTTTGAATAATGTCATATTTGATTGTTGTTTTAGGGTATCTGCAGGTCTTGAAAAGTCTTACAAAGAATTGAATTTTACAGAAGTATTAAATATTTCCTCTTAATTAAGTCAGTAATTTCATCCATAAAATGTTTTGGTATCTGTTTACAGTTGGGAGACACTCTAATAGACTAAAGTGGGATTCTTTTATCTGGATTGTGTATACAGAGTCTGTTCGATACTTTTCAGTCAGCACTGTCCGACCTGTAGCAAACACAGCTCTTGCATGGAAACTCAAATTGACATAATGGGGCAAATGTCCATTTTAAAGCTAGACACATTAACATAAATTAATTAATTATTTTTATTGGTTAATCAATCCATTCATTTCATGTAACTTCTACTAGGTCCAGGTCATATTTATTCAAATATGTGATTTAATAATAAATAATAATTCTAGGCCATATCATCTCTACTGGTTTTCCATCCTACTTTCTACCGTCATGTATGATTGTCAAACAGGAATTAAACTATTCTATTTGGCTTTGAAAATGTCTTGAAAAAAACTTAAGCTTAACTTGAACGCCGCAGAAACTTTATACGTTTGCTCAGAGTGAATTGTGACTTATTGTATGGTGTCCCTTGGTGCTCTGTTGTTCCACCCAGATCGCCCCGGGCTAATTAATGTTAAGCAGGTGGAGCAGAGTCAGGACAGCATCCTCCAGGCCCTGGACCTCCATCTACAAGCAAACCACTCTGACTCAGTCTACCTCTTCCCCAAGCTGCTGCAGAAGATGGCCGACCTCCGTCAGCTGGTTACAGAGAACGTTCACCTTGTCCAAAAGATCAAAAAGACTGAGTCGGAGACCTCGCTCCACCCTCTACTACAGGAGATCTACAAAGACATGTATTAGTATTCTCCAGCACAGACTGCTTTTAGCAATACTGTTACAGACTGAATTCACATTTATAATAATACACTGCATTCAGTACAAGCACTGTTCCACGTACGGGCATGGATTTTAACGTGCAGATGAGGCAGAGTCACGTGGTAGGGCTAACACAATCAGCAAAGTCTTCTCAATGTCAGCATTACCCTCAGCACAGTAATGTATGTGTGCGTGGGTGTGTGTGTGTGTGTGTGTGTGTGTGTGTGTGTGTGCGCGCGCGTGAGTGAGTGAGTGTGAGATGAGCATCTGGAATCATTTGCTGCAAGTCTTAGTTTCCCACAACGGTTACTTAACAGAGAGAATGATATGTTTTTCTCACTGAGGCTGCTCCTATTACATTCTAAAAGCAAAACTGACCCCAGAGCAGCGTCCAGAGAGAGCTTCTCCTCACGTGTGAAGGGAAAGTGATTCATGTTCTTACACCAATGGCATAGTTGGAATAGAAAGGAGCCGTCAGTTTGTACTGTGCAGGAATTTCTTATGATGCCAATGTCTTTTTGGTAGAGTGATTGTTCTCAGACTTTTGGTAAAGTTGAACATGCAAACGTTGGTTTTTTGTTTACATCATCATCATCATCATCATCATCATCATCATCATCATCATCATCATCAGTGACTGCTACTGTGCCATTTGGTTTATAGAACACAAACTGGGCTGGCTCCAGCAGTGTAGAGCTCTCTCTCTCTCTCTCTCCCTCAAAGCAGCTGTCTGTGCAATACCGTTTCGATTTGTCAATAAATGTGGAGATCCAAGTTATATAGGTTTTGTCTTAAAGCCATCTACCTAAGTGGTAACTAATGGACTATGCTGCACAGATTTTGTTTCTGAAGCTGACACTATAAACACATGACCCATTGAAGTACAAGGGACCGCATGTTTGTTTTGTTTTTTTTTTTCTTTATTCTGACATGCAAATTATCATTGACTTGCCATTTTAAGGTTTTTTTTAGTTTATTCTTTGTAATTGTTACTAATTATTTGTAATTGTTGATCATATTTCTAAGGGCAAAACATGAATTATCATCTTGTTTTATGTATTGAGTATATCTGTTTTTTTGTTTTTGTATTACATGTCTGCCTATTTAGTTTAGGTTCTACCAAATATATTGTCAAGCATACCAACAAACTTTCCCTTGATGAGGAATTTGGATTTCACGCCTTAGCGGGATTTACCTAAAAACCAGCATACTGTACCATGATGTCATTATTGGGAATATTGATGATGATTAGAAATTAACATCCAGCATCTGGTATCACAAGTCATCTCTGTATTCACCCAAGATATAGCCACAGTCCTAGATTACTAGCCTTTTTTTGTGTGTAAAGTCTGATTTGTTAGTAGAGGCACAAAGTGTAACAGCGGATTCATCTGTTTCCAACTGTCCCCCCCCCATATATTCTGTAAGATCTCTATTTTTTCCCCCACTGTACTTGTTCTGAATGGACTACAGTATGTCAGCACTGGTGCACAGAGTCCACCTTCACAAGTCTCCTCTTGTGCTCTTATTCTGTCTTGATCCCTATCTACCTCTAATGTATGATCTGTGACATTATTCCACTGTCTCATCTAATCACTTACATTTTATTTGCCTTAATCTCCTGCTATTTGGGTACACGTTGCAAATTTTATATTATCGGCTGATGTGCAGTGTGCCAAGAATAGCAAAGGGTGTGGATGGATAAAAAAATAAGAAAGTGCACCAAAAAATAAGAAAAAGTTGATGTAAGCTACCTCTATGCCTGTGTAAGTGATGGATTGACATATTTGACTTGAAATAACTTGGTCCTTATAGTCCCATGTAACCCTATCTTCAGATCTAGTTTAGTTACATCTCACTTATAAACTTTATTAGAAATATTAACACCGATTTTTCTTTTTTCTTTTTTAAATTATGAGGCAGATTACATGTCTAATACACATGCCTGCTATTAGCCCCTTGTTAAAGTACCATAATTAAACTAACTTTGGGAGAGTTCAGACACATGGATGGATAAATGGGAACATTGGAATACGTTACGTACAGACGTCAACGTGACGTTTCTATTGGTCCGTTGCTAAGTTAATTGGCGAACGGAACCGGCTGTCAACTATTTAGTTAGTAAGATGGAGGGTGTTTGGCGGCATGCTCAAAACACACGGAGGATGGACTCGGCCCGTAGTGGAAGTATCTGTAGGTAAGCGGCAATTGGTTGTGTATAAAGTTTATAAAGCGGGGGAAAGTCGTGTGGAAGTAGAAACTTGGCTCTGATACTGTGAAACGTTATTAAGTCACCCGTTGTGCTACGTTCAAATGCTGCCGTTAAGTCGAGGAAAAAAGAAAAAGTGCTTTTTGGATGATTTTAATAAACAAAAGAGGTTAATTGTTTTAAATAAAATGATACAACGTTTTTTTTTTTTTTGTGATGTTTGTGTGTGTGTGTTAGCGTGGGGACCCATGTGAATAAATGGGTGTAAAGCGTTAAAATATAAGCAGAATCAGTCTGAAAACTCAACTGTAGTTTTTAAAGGAACAATCTGGACAACGCTAACTAACGTTAGCTAACGTTAGCTCAAGTTTGTAACTCAGCATCAAACTAACTTTTTAGCAGCAGCTGGAAGCCTCCAGTTTTTTTCGACAGCATGTAAACACTATATTAGTCGAGCCTTTGAGGGATGTTACGTCTGTGTATGGGGGGGAGGAGAGTGTTAGCATTATCTTAAAATTACACCGCTTTAAGGAGATGCCCATCGCTGGATTATGGTTGCCAGGTGTCGGTGGTGGTATGTGAAGGTAACGTAAGAGGCACGGCGGTTTGTTTGTGTTGAGTTTACTGTTGTTGTTCAAACGGTTCCTGTGTCCGTCGCTAGCTCCTCACACTGTGGTCACATGATGGTTCATTTCCATCGGATATTAACACTCAACACAGACACAATAGATGACTGGAGCCTTAACTTCACAGTTCTCGATTTTACGACTTGGGACTTGAAAGCAGAAGTGAATAATTTTTTACATGGTTAAATTCCAGGAACAGTTAAATATTAAATATAGATATAGACTTATTATATGAATGCATTGAATGGATCTAACCTCAGCTATGTTAAAATAAAACAACAGTTTTGTCTTTTATTTTATTTTTTTATTGCCAGTTACATTCACAGACCTGAAAGACTTGCTTATGAAGCTACATGGATGAAAATGACTTCAGCTCTCTCCCCTTTTTCATTACAGACGTTTCATAAATGGCTCTTGCAGATTTGGTCACAGGTGTAATTATCGACATGAATGGCCAGTTTTACCATCAGCCCAAATTTGTAGGTACTTTCAAAAAGGTGGATGCTGGTATGGTGAACGCTGCAGGTAAGCTATTTATCTATAACTAGGTGAAGGAAAAGCTGACGTGCGCACAACTTTCCATGGCTCATTCAATATTTTCCACCTCCAGGTATCTCCATGTCCTTCAACCTGAGTTCGATGCAGATGTTGCAGGTAGAAGAAGTTCGGTGCCTACGGTCTCCTCCTCCAGTGTGGCTTACAATCCATCCAACAGAAGAGGGTCAGAGCCTGCTCTTCTGCAGGCGGAGGTGATGTCCAGGCAGGAATGCAGAAGATCAGAGTTTGTGGTTAATGTCTCAAATCCTCAACGCAACATTGGGCGTCTGGCAGCAAATATTGCTGAGGAACAATCAGAAGGTACTGGATATTTTCATGGGTGAAACCGACTTGGGTCCGTATTTTTCCATACTTCACTTACTTTTTTTCTTTGCAGATACTGACTCTCATCTCACTGCTTCTTGGGAATCAGCCCAGAGCTCAGAAGTTGCTCAAGCATATGCATGTGATGGAAGAAATGAGCAGGTTTGATCTTTCCACAGGGCATTTTGGGGAATTAAACCAAGTGGAAAGCAGGAGGCTTATACTGATTGCAAACGTTTGTGTCCTGCAGACTTCTTCCAATGAGACGACAGAGGACGGTGCTGCTGCTGCGGCCTCTAATACCCAGAGGAAAGTAGAGGAAATGGAGGCCTTCCTCCAGAGTAAAAATGTGACCTGTGGCATTTGCATGGACAAGGTGTATGAAAAGATCGACCAGAGAAACCATGTTTTTGGAATCTTGCCCAACTGCAATCACTCCTTCTGTTTACAATGCATCATGACCTGGAGGAAAACAAAAGACCTCGGGCCAGACGTGGTTAAGTAGGTACCAGTCATTCTGAATATTTAACAGCACACCATAAAGGATCTGACTTGACGTCACTGTTTTATTTATTACTCAGGAGCTGCCCGCAGTGCAGAGTGAGATCTGCCTTTTATGTGCCTAACAAATACTGGGTTGAAGGGCAAGCAAAGGAGAGCTTAATTGCTGCCTTCAAAGAGAAATTCAGGTATGGCATTGAGCTTTGATAGCAGTACTGATCACTACAGCGGGGCTTGTGGTCAACACAGCTTTGAAACTGTCCACACCAGTGCATATTTGTCCTACCTTGGCAGAGTTTAAAAGAGCTTTGAGTTTTAAGTCTACCCTTATTTTGTACTTGCTGGGTATGTATTACTGTACACAGGTTTCAGTCACCAATCCTGTTTTTGTTTATGTTGGACATACCACTCCAGTTTGACTGCTCAGCTCTCACCCAGCCATCTCCTGCATGTTCACTGAATGTGATCAAACTAATCAGCAACTCACAACATTTATTTAAACTACTATATTTAAAATATTGAAGTTGGAGTCAAATGGGATTTTCAGACTTAATTGTGCTGATAACTAGGCCACCGTAGATTAATTCTAATAAGCCTGCTGTAACTTGTGATGAACTTTCGGTTTCAAAAGTGTCCCAGTTAACCCAGTTATATAAACCACGTATTTGAATCCCAGAACAAAACTGAATTTACCTGAACTGTAGATAATTTTTCATAGTGTAAAGCAGTGTGGTAATCTGTTTCAACTAAACAATACATCAAGTTAAGGAAATAATGATACTTAATACACATTTCACAGGGCCTGCAAGATTTACCCAGTTACATTGGCTATTAAGTCTTGGAAGCTAGAACTGTGTTTTTATGAATACTAAAGGTGCTACATTAGTATTGAGTAAAGGAAATGGGGACACTCTTAAAAAAATTAGGGCCTTACAAACATGCAGTTTTGTCTTTAATGTGTGTTGGATTTAGTGGCATCTAGCAATGATGTTACAGATTAAAACCAACTGAATAACAGCTCACCTTCAGAGCGTGTAAGAGAAATTACAGTGGCTGCAAGAAAATACAAAGGCCCTATTTATAGCCAGTTAACCATTTCAGGCTAATTTAGAAACATCCTGGTTACCCTCTGTAGATAAAAACTGCTTGTTTAAGGTAAAGAAGACGCAACGGTTGTTTTCAGGCAATTATATACTAATGAGAACCTATGAACGTTATATCCCACTTCTGCAAATTGTTCCTCCTAAATGTTACAAACTGGAACTGAAGTTAAATCTCAAGTCAAGTTGAATTCTTGATTTTATTTGTGAAATGAAACCTGCAACTGACCCCCCCCCGTTCTGTTTTGTCTCGTCTGGTTTCTAGTAAGAAAAGCTGCAGTTACTATACACGGTACAGATGCTGCCCATTTAAAACGGAGTGCCTTTACCGGCATGACAAACATGCACGTCGCAGGTCATTTCGGGTAAATATAATCCCAGTTACATGATTAAGTCCTTACCACCATTATGAATGCATGAGATAATGTTTGTTTACTTTCCCTGACGTTGCGTTTCTTGCTCAACAGTATCCTACAGAAGATGAAGACGAATACGATGGTGTAGATCTGCTTAATCTCTTCATAGCCATGACCCTTCTCGGTGGTGACGATGACGACGATGAAGATGACTTTGACTTTCCTTTTTACCTATCTGAGGAGTACGGTTTCTGAGCTTTTTCATTGTCTCTCTTTTTTGTTTTTTTTGTCAGTGCCTGAAACCACTGACTGAGGTCTTGACTATAAAATTGAGCCCAGAAGAACACATGGCTATGTCTCGACCCTTCTGTCCTCGTTGGATCAGTATTGCTACATTTTAAGTAGCCACAATCGAGATGAGGGATATCAACCATGCACCATGGAGAGCATTCAGAGATTGTTAGTGTGCGATAGCGAGAGGAACTAATCTGTGACATCACCTGCTACAGTCTGTCTGGAGAATGTGTTACACTTGGCTCTCCACGGCACATGGCTTGTTGCCCCCTGCTCTAGATGTGAGCACCCCCTGTTGGGGACAAATCTTGAATCTCTAATGATATTATGGTTAATCTGTGGCCTTGTACTTTGCATTTGTCTCACCCTCCTGTGGCCGTTGTGCTTCAAACTCGTTGCAGATTGTTAATTTTCCCTGATCCTCTACTGATTAATAGGAGTGCTCAATTCTGACTTGTACATGCAATTTGCACCATTTTGATATTTTAAAGTGTTTTGTGGATAGTAGTTTTAATTGTCTATTGATGAAAAGTATACTGTACCCTTTCTTGGATGTCCCCTACTGAATACTTGCCACAAGTGATAGTCATGACAGCCTTTTTCCTAGTTTTGGCAAGAACGTAAAATGTTAAGATTTTATTTCTTTTAAACAAGTTGTACTTGTACACAGAAAATAAAACATTGCTTCACACTTTGTCTCACTAAAAAGGTGCGTCGTGTTCTTCATTTGGCACTAGTGAAAATTGGTATATTAAAACTGAAACTGGACTACTGACATTTACCACTAGGTGGAGGTGTGGAGTACAAATGTAGTCAAATTGTCGTCGCGAAGAAGAAATGTTGATGAAAACTGGCGGGTTAGAAAGCACTGGACAAACACGGTGTGAAACTTTATAGTAATGGACACTATTAACGTGTCTCTGAGTCGGTTCAACGGGCAGTCGAAGCTGCTGGTCCGGTCGCTTCTGTCCGGAGCCTCCGGTGCCCACCGAGCTCTGAGCGTCTTCCACAGCCAGCAGCGGGCTGACCCCGGACTGTCACTGTCCAGCTTTATAGAAACACTGTGCCAAGACGAAATAACCTGTGCACCAATGGAAGCACAGCCGCTAACGGTGTAAGTAAAAGTTCACCGCAGTAGCTTTTTGGGAATCACATGTAACGTTAACTTAGAGCTAACTTGGTATTAAGTCACTGGGTTTCCCTCAGGGAGTAGGAGACATTTCTTTCTGCTGCAATTGACCCTAGCAACGTCAAAGCTAGGACACTCCTGTTGCTATAGAAACTGTTGACAGGCTGTGTGTAGTCTTGACATTAAACTCACTCCATAGACTATTAATGTTACCTATAATTTATCAATGCATTTTAAATTGTCATAAAACCCAAATGTCAGTACTAATACTAACAAAGAAAATGGCTCTTTTTCACTAGAATTAAGTACATTTACAAGTAGGACTGAAGTACAATTTTGAGGTATTTGTACTAAGTTACTTCTTATACTACAGCAATAGGTATGATAAGCTTATACAATATAATACTTTGCTAAAGATTAAACCTATGGTTCCCAATCTTTTTGTCTAGTTGGGACCCTATATTTGGGTGGCTGGCAGTTTAATCAAAGAGGCTTTTCCCCTCTAAACTATGCAGATGGCCTCATTTAAACAACAAATTAGCCAATGTTTAAAAAAAAAAAAAAAGAAAATTCCCTGAAATGAATACACATTTGTGCAGCAGAACCTTTTCCCCCATTAATCATCTCATGACCCCTCACATTTACTGTCTCTTGTCCTCCTTTCTTTGGAAGGTGTCCAACCTCTACTTTAGGAACCACAAAGATTAATTAAGCTTTGAACTACTACTTTTAAAATGTCCTCAGAAAGGCCTATTCTATCAGCATTCTGTGTTTTCTCAATCAATTTCATTATTTAATTCATAATATAGGTCTGTTGTTTATTTATTTCTTGTTAAATCTTTTTAATACTGGTGTTTTCTCTACATTTGGATCACTGATTTTGCTCTAAAATACAACATTACCCCATTGACTTCTGCTTAATACCATGAAATGATCATCTTCAGTTAAATTCAGTCCATAAGTGCTAGCCTAAGACAAACCGTTGGCATCTGCTACCCTATTATGTCACATACCTGTACCTATTCTCTCACCTATTGTAGTAAACCCCTGGTGTGCCTGTTCCCAGCCTTATTCAAACAAAACTTGCTGTCCTTCCTCCATCTGGTCCACTCGATTCTTCCACGAACCGCTGTCCTCCATCTGCTCAAATGCCTCAGCCAGGACCCTCATCCAAGCCCCTGGGTCTCCACTCTGGTCAGACAGCTGCAAAGAAACCTGGGGGCCCACAGTGAAGAGCCTCTGTACACTCTGCTGTGCAGCCAGAGACTCAAGGAGCTGTCACAGCGTTTGGTTGGTTCTGGTGAGACTGAAGGATGGGCCAAGTGCTTCAGCGGTCATAGTGTAGAGTCCGGATCTCAGAGTGCATCTGGTTTATCAGTGCTGGGGACACAAAGGAAAAGGAAGAGCAGCTTTGTCGCATCAGATGGTGATGAAACAGGACAGCAGAGTAAACGGATAAAGGTAGATGTCTGTGGCAGTGAGTGTCTTGATGCTGAAGAACAGAGTGTGAAAGAAGAGATATCAGGAAGAAGAGAAAATGATGCTGTGGCAGAAACTTCTGCAGAAGAACTGCAACCAGCACCGGACCAACCATGTGATGCTCTGCCTGAACATATCAAGGTAGAGACGGACTATCTGTCCTGAAATGTATCATCCATTTTCACAATATTACCAGTTTGATTTATTTCAATTAAAGAACAGAATTTTCAAATGAGAGATTGGATAGCAAGTTCCCACAGTCAACTTGTGTGTACTAATCGGACCATTATTTTTATTTTCATAGAACAGGTTAAATAACAAAGTATGGCCTATTTTTGTGTTTATTTAGGTCGCTGTTCTTCAAATAAAAGAATTACTGGAAAGTCAGACAGAGGTAAGATAATAATGTTTTCTTTCTTCCAGCCAGCACAGACTAAGAGTGACATTCAACATTACTATAATTATTATTATTGTTGTTGTTGTTGTTTGCAGTGGGACCAGAGCTCCACGGATGTGTTCAAAGTACTAAACGAGTGTGACCCCGGCCAAGTATGTCCTTAAAATGTTATATCTGACTCTTTTTAATGTTTGCAATAATACTTTTATATGTGTTCACTGTGAATCACACTACTGAAGGTGACATTTTATCTACCTGATGTTAATATGGGGAAATAAAATATTAGATACATCTTGTACAATACAACACAACTCCAATAAAAATACAGGATCAGAAATAATACTTGAGTTCAAAACATCACTCAAAAATAATTACGTTTCACAATGGTAGTGTGTATTTCAGATCTGTTGTCTTACATTAAACAAGTGTGAGAAACAGACAGATTACCAACTACAACTGTAGTTACCACTGGTGAGTTGAGTGTCATATTACACTCTCTACATATCTCTTCCTTTCCTTTCTAGGTGGAGTTGTTATGCAGCACGCTGAGGTTGCCCGACTTACCCCAGCAGACTCTGCCTAAACTGTGCAGCAGTATTTTGGCTCCCTCTCCTGACCTCAGCTACAGCACCGCAGCAACACTCATCAAGAGCCTACTGCTGGAGAAGGTACATCACAGAATATGCAAAAGGATGCGACAGGTGTTGGTGGGTTTGATACTGACAGGATATCGTTTTACTATACCTGCAGGTCCTGTCCTTGTCAGAACCGGCCTCCAGATGTCTAGTGACTGCAGTGACAATGCTGTGTAGCCGCTGTCCCAGACCAATGTGCCACGCTCTAATTGAACCAGTTCTAGTGGAAAAGAACATAGGTGAGGAAAGGGTTGTAATCATTTATTAACACCGCCTGTCACAGGGGTGTCATTTAGGCCTTAATTAATCCAGTCACAAGTGGACAGCTAAGCAGGCCTCTCCTGCCGGGCTCCTGTCCACTTTGGATCAGCTCATCCAAGACGCATGTTAATAGCAGGTCTGAACAGGGATTTAGTTAGTTAGTTACAGAGCAGCAACCCTGGAGCTGACATGGATTCAGTGTCCTGGTTCATGTGTACATAAACAGGACAGATGCTTTGATGTTATGAAGGGCTGAGCCATGACCTTGTTCCTCACCTTTCACATCAATTGATCCTCTTTTTTGAACTTTGTTTTGTTGTCAGGGAATCCACAGGCTGAGCTGCTGAACCGACTGATAGAAGGCTGCCTGGACTCCCATTACAGACTACTGGTGCTTCAGTGAGAACATTTAAATTCTGCATATGTATCGAATAAGCATAAAACAATATAGATTCATATGGTTATTAGTTGCTTGTTGATGCAGTCTTTTACCTTTTTCCCCCCCAGAATGACTTTCAGAATAGCGTGGAGTGAGGCAGTGCTCTCCATCATCCACAGTTTGCTAGACTCCAAGGTAATGTGAATGTTTATGCGTGGAAAAAGTGCTGCAAGACCACTTAGTCATAATATTCACTGTTATTGAGTTGCCTTGTTTTCTGGTTTTTTTTTCAGCCTGACTTGAGTGAAGAACTGTTCACAAAGTTCACCGAACAGCTCGTCAGCCAGGGTCCTCAATTCACAAAGTCTGTGCAGTTCGCCAAAATGATGCTCACTGTTCTCACCAAATATAGCACTTATGTAAGTTTGTACATTTATATTATGCACAATGGCTGAACAGCGTATGAAATATTATTTGTAATCTTTCTGCATATGTATTAATGTGTTTTGCCAGGTGACTGCTGCACATAAACAATCCCTGCACGGTTGCCTGATGTTAAATGAGACCTTCTTGAAAAAATCTCTCCAAGCTGCCCTGAAAAGAATCAGACACTCATGAAGTTTCATCTGAACCAATGTATGTTAATAAACCAGTTTAAATAAGTTGTTGTCTACTTCTTCATATTTTGATTTGAAAATGAGAGACCGCATTTCACGAGTTTGACTCATAAAAACATTAAACTTCTCCTCTGAGTCAGGTCTTATAAAACAGATTGTAAAATGCTGACTTCTGCATTCATGACTTTTGTTTACTTGAAATGTTGGTGTCGCAATTCAAGCTTATTCTGTTGTCATCATGTATGTGTGTACGTGCATAGTGCTGCCCGACTTCAGTGTGTGAGTCCTTTAAATTCTGAGCAAAGTATTTGTTAACATTAACAACATATATTGGTGGAATGTTTTTGCTTCAGTACTGAACTTAAATACAGTTTTGAGGTAGATCACTGGATATTTCAGTTCATTTTAGAGGGAAATAATGTACTTTACTTACAATTATTAGTGAATTACCCTGCAGATTAAGATTTTACTTATAAAATAGCTTGTATTATGATCATAACATTACCTCAACCATCTTCAACACTAAAATGTTGCTTACATATTAAGGCATCTGTATGTGCACTCTGCTGCGTACTGAGTACTTTTAATACTTATAATAATACTATTTATAAAGATATATATATACATTATTTAGTACATTTTTCTTATAATATTGTATGCTGTTCTGTTTTTTTACATTTCACAAGAGTATTTTTATATGTCGTTTAAAGAAAAGAGGATCTTATATTGGAAGCCTTTACATTTAGTCAATAATAATATTTATTAATAATAATAATATATAATAATAATATATTATAATAATAATAATATATAATAGAAATAATAATAATATATAATAATAATAATAATATAATAATAATGATAATAGTAATATATAATAGAAATAATAATAATATATAATAATAATGATAATAGTAATATATAATAATAATATATAATAATAATAATAAATAATAATAATGATAATAGTAATAATAGTAATATATAATAATATATAATAATAATAATATAATAATAATAATAATAATAATTATGTTAAATCTTTTATGACTATTTAGTCCTCTAAGTTGAACCAAATATTGTCTTTAATAATAACAAGAGATTATGAGAGATATATTTTAGATTTCTGGTGTGTAATACAAAACAATTCGTGTGCGCATTTTGATGGCGTCACCGCGCGGCCGCCTTTATTTTGCGTAACTTCCTGCTGAACTTCCTTTTTCCGCGAAGAAGAGGAGAGGGACGAGCCGCTGAAATGAGGTCAGCTAATGTAACAAATAATGTGCAGAAATAAATGTTTTTCTGGGCTACACGGGGTCCTTTAAACACGTCGTGTTCATATATTGATATATTGATCGGCAGTTACGTTGTTTTGTCCTTTTTGTCACAGTTACGTGGCGCTAAACGTGACGTATGTGACCGGGTCGTCTGCCGGTCCACGTTAAATTTGAGATGTAATCCGCCGTCATCCACACGTTTAACACATGTTTTAGAGAATAATTCAGCATCGGATGTACATGTTAACTCTCCTAGATTATATTAAAGAGAAAATCTTTCCCGACTTCGAACCTGTTTATTCGCTGCCGTAGACCACCATAGGGGACTGGGTTCAGAGTGGTAATCCACTAATGGCCTCTACTTTAACATGTTTTGTGATCATTTTTATGTTACAGTAAGGTCTCCAGGGATACGTTGTACGAAGCCGTAAAGGAGGTCCTGCAGGGCTCTCTGGGCAAGCCGAGGAAGTAAGTTTACGTGAGGAAAACTGTTCAACCTGGAGTTCAAACTCAGGAACGGGATATTTTTGATCCAACTGCATCTGTTTGTAGGTTCGTGGAGACGGTGGAGCTGCAGATCAGCTTGAAAAACTATGATCCCCAGAAGGACAAGCGTTTCTCCGGCACTGTCAGGTTCGACCTTTTACTGTTTCACCCGACCTTTTCCCTGTGTGCTTCCAGCCCTGTCTGAGTTTTAAAATCAGCCTGTTATAAGGCATTTAAATCTGTAAAGTGTAAAAGAAAGGAAAAAAAAAAGACAGGCCAGGGGCAGACATGGAGAAGTACTCTGGGTAGTCTGACTGAACTGACCCAGCCTCGGCTGGTGGAGGTGATGCAGACGGACCCCTACCCTGGGTCTTAAAACATGAGGGAAGGTTTTGAGTGGCTGAGCTGCTAAGTTCATGTCCTCATGCCGACCAATTATTACCAAAGAGGTCTGCTGGACACCGATCACAGTGGTGGTATGGGTAAGAACTCTTCTATTACACGGTTAAATCAGGACGGTGTCATTTGGAGACGGCAGAGTATTTAAGTTTCAATGTGTCTGATTTAGAGATTTTAGTACACTTTGCATTTTTCATCACAAATTTGTGTCGTTTCTATTTCCACTCCATCTACATAATGAGATCTAGGACAGTAAACGCATACATTTGTTGTCCTATATGGTCTGATAATGAATTAAAAGTGCAGATTCAAGCCGTCAACCACGACTATACGCTGCCTTACTTCCAACTGATGGTCCTTGGGTTTGACGCGCGGTCGTGAGCGGTCTCTCTAACGTCTTTGTTGATACGCAGGCTGAAGACTCTCCCCAGGCCAAAGTTCTCCGTGTGCGTCCTGGGAGACCAGCAGCATTGTGACGAGGCCAAAGCCGCCGAACTGCCACACATGGACATCGAGGCTCTCAAGAAGCTCAACAAGAACAAGAAGATGGTCAAGAAGCTCGGTATGAAGTTGACATCGCGAGACTCCTGATTTGTGGCGATTGAACTCCCAACGGGCTGTTTTAAACACTAATCTTTTGTTTCCTACTGTCCCCTTATAGCCAAGAAATATGACGCTTTCCTGGCCTCTGAGTCTCTGATCAAGCAGATCCCTCGTATCCTGGGTCCTGGGCTGAACAAGGCTGGCAAGTTCCCTTCCCTGCTCACCCACAATGAGAACATGAATACCAAGGTGGACGAGGTCAAATCCACAATCAAATTCCAGATGAAGAAGGTTCGTTGAGCTGCACTCCTGAGTACATGTTGATGTTACTGCCAGTTTCTATCTGTTTTAAACACTGTTGCGTTGGGTTTCTGCACAATATATTGACGTTTACTTTGTGTCGTAGGTGCTGTGTCTGGCTGTAGCTGTAGGACACGTGAAGATGACAGAGGACGAGCTTGTGTACAACATCCACCTGGCTGTGAACTTCCTGGTGTCCCTGCTGAAGAAGAACTGGCAGAACGTGCGTGCCCTCTACGTCAAGAGCACCATGGGCAAACCCCAGCGCCTCTACTAAATGATAGCTTTTCTATAAATAAAAATGTGGAGATGCTCCGAAGTTTGCTGCTTTTGGATGTTTTTTTCTTTGTTCAGATTTGTTAAGGATTTATTAATGTGAAACTTTAAAAGTTCATGGATGTCAATATATTTTGACTTTGGGGTGTTTGCAAAGTTTTTCTACTGCGACCGAACCTTGTTACGGCTTAACACTGCTCCACTCTATAATATAGCCTTTATTAGCAGTAAATGTCATCAAAATGTGGTGCTTACTGATGCGTTTGCATCTGTGTGCAGCTCTTTTGTTAGTTCAATGTGAGGATGGAGAGTGTGCAAAATCGTAGCACTATTTTTGGGGGCCTTGGTATGGAAAAGTTGCGCAACCCCTGATTTAGATTATAAAAGAAGACCTGAACAGTGTTAAACAACCAGTTAAAACAACTAAAGAGCTAATAGAACAATTTCAGGGAGAAGAAAACACAGAATTTGTCAAAGGAAAAGTATTCATTTATGTTTAATAAAAAAGACATACAAATACAGAAAAGATTAAAAAAATATATATATATGGAAAACTGCAATATTCACAGGAAATTGGAAGTTTTACACAAACTTCCTACAGTTATTTTTGTTTATTGTACTGTTTGTCAGATGTTCTGTACTGTTGCTGTTATGCATTGAATATAATATGAAATCTCCATAAAATATCAGGTTGTCAGTTTAAGCAAATCAGTTGGGAACCAGAAACACAAATATATTTATGTAAAATATATCCTGCAATTTATGACTATTTCTGAAAACCTGAAATTTTTAGTTTTTCAAAAGGGCAAAATGAAGGACGGGGTCCCCCTCACATGATACATTAGAGCTATAAATCAGTGAAAAACAGTGAACAGGCTGTTGGAGCCCGTACAGCCCTTTGTGTCAGGTTCAGTGACAGTAACAGTTTGAATCCTTTATTATCTGAAGTGTTTGGATTTAGTGAAGACTATATTTAGGACCCAAATATTCCCCTCTTCAGATGACGCTGAGGGTGATGGGAACGGCACATCTGATTCATCAGCTGGGACAACACCACCATGTATTTACAAAAGATAAAACCGCTGCAACAGGTACAGCCATCACTACCCATGAGCCTCCTGGGGCGGTCGTCCTGCTCTGGTTTGACTGTGGATCTCTTAATAGGATTATCTATTCTCAGTACGGGAGAAAGGCTGACGGAGAAATGAACCAAACGCAGACAGGAATTTATGAGAATATATTTCAGCAACCCTAAACAATCTGCTGTCGACTGAAGAGGATTTCAATAATTGAATCTGGTTTTTACCTGAGTAAGACTCTTGGATTATTTTAGTGAAGACACGATGGACGCTCAGGTGAGTCAAATAATCTCCCAGCTGTCCTTCCTCTTCCTGTTGACACTGATAAATGTTTAATGGCTGTGTGGTTCAGAGACTGATGTAAAGTTCCTGTACTACTTTCAGCCTGATGCAGAGACAAACAGCTACTGTCCTTCCACCATGCTGGGCAGTGACGACAGTGATGAAGGTAAACTATAAAGCTATAAAATGTCCATAAAAACATCCAGCAAACAGTAACCATGGCTCTGCATTTAAACCGGGTTGTGTCTTTACAACAGAAACCAGTCAGGAGGAGCCACCAGTCACAAACTGGAGCGAGCTGTCCATCATAGAGCGAGTGGGCCTCAACGGGTGATCTGCCACACATTTATTTTATTTAAATAATATGACTTAATAATCAAACTTTTCATTAAGCCTTTGATTGTTTTGTTTCCTAACAGTGTAGAGATGTCAGAGAAAGATTTGGAGGTAAGGTCGCTCACTTCTTACTCACCAGGATGAAACACAGGTTACATTTCCTCTTTGTGATGGCCTCCATGTGCGTTTTATGTTCTTCATATTTGGGTATTGTTTGCTCAGTGTGTCTGCTGTTTTTAAGTTTTCAAATGGAAAAAAGGTTTTGCTTGTTATAATAATTCCTGTTCACACTGGTTGTTTAAAGATCCTTTCCTGGTGTGTACCCAGGTAGTTCACCAGGTGGAGTCCTTGTTAAAGTGGCCCGGGTTCCCTGGTTCTCTTTGGTTGCTTCTAAGGCAATAAAAAAAACCAAAAATGACCCTTTAAAAAGCCCCTTTCCTAATGCACTTTCAGTGTAAGTGACGGAGGACAAATCCACAGTCCTGTATGTATTCACAAATGTATCACGAGTAAATCTGAGGCTTTAGAGAGTTAGATATCTTTACTGTATTTTTAATGCAAAATCCAAATGTGTTGTCAGTTACTATTCTTCCACAACAAATAAACAGAGAAACATTAACAGGGAATTTTATAGCAAAAAAAAAATTATCCACTGAATTTAATTAAACGAAGACACATATAAGCCTCAGATAGACTCTGAAATATCCTAATCTTGCTTACACTGGAAGGAGTCGTATGATTTAAAGGCCTGTATAAACAGGAGGAATGATTGCAGTAAGATAAACCTGATTCAGTGTTCATACGGTCACTGACAAACTGTTTGAAGACTGATTTTAAGAATTGTGAACCTATCCTTTAATGTTTTAATAGTAACTTTTTGTCTGTATGTGGTTTTTAAGGTTATTGATTTTGTGTGGAATATATAAATATTCAGACAACAGATTATCTATCAGTAAATCTGGTACTTTTACTTCTCAAAAAAAGTTAATTAATGCATCTTTTAATATAAGTTGGATTCTTTCTGTATTTGTTGTCATTTCAACCATAAAAAAATCCAGTCCAGCTTCAGGGATTAAAACCTGACAGAACATAAACATCTAAAATGTAAGGGTGCATTAAAAATGATGGATATCTCTCCCAGGCGGCCTTCACTCAGATCGCCCTGGCCTTTCGCTGTGATCAGTACACCCTGAAGCAGAGGCTGCAGGCGGAGGAGCACGCCCGCAACCTGGCCGAGGAGAACATCCAGCTGGAGCTGAGCAGAGGCAAGGAAACCCTCGAGGTAAATGACAGATTATCTGAAATGAGCCTTAATGAGACCACCAGAGAGCGAGTACACATGTGCGTTTGTGTGTGTTTTCAGACACTGAAGGACCTGTGTCTGGACAGTCAGCGCAGTAAGATCCTGCAGAGGCTCGAGCTGTCTCTGGACATCCTCGGTGGGACTGTGGAACGAATCTCCAACACAGCCGAGGTGCTCGGTGCTGTGCACCAGGTACAGTGAGCTGCTCCTATTTTATTTTAGGATGGCTCAGTGGCTAAAAGACTTTCCAACCTTTGAGTCCCAGAATAACTGATGAATCACAGAATGATTAGAGAGATAAAGACATAAAAAGAAACATTTCTTTCTTACAATTCAATAACTCATTTCAGCCTTTCCTTGTGAAATACTAAACACTCTGACCTCTCTAAGCCTAAAAATTCAAGAAATTACATATTAAAAATGAATCACTAAATAAGCAACAATCAAAGTTAAAGTTCTTTAAAAAAGAGTTTAACAATAATAAAAAAAAACAACAACTCACTTTTGATTGACAGTCTTTCAACATAAGCAAAAAAAAAACTGTCATCACGTTTTAATTTAAATGTTTGAAGCTACTGGTTCATATAAATAATGTGGTTTCACCGTTTTTCAACAGAGCACAAATAAAGAAATCCCTCATGTGAAATAACCAAAACAGTTATAACTTTAACAGAAAAGCTTGTGTTCATGTAGTCCCCCATTTCTCATAGTAAGAAAGGTTTCAGGGCCTTAAACAAATGTTTTTTTGCCCAAATGCTCTTCAAAGTCTTCTTTCACACCTGTGTCAAACAGTCAGAAGCAAAAAGAATCTGTCACATGCAATAAACCATATACCGATTTTATTTAAACACTTTTGAGAGATGTAGTTTATAGTGTTTTGAGTTGGTAAAAACAGATTTATGTGTTTGTTTGAGAGCACCGACAGTGAGATCCTTCAGTTAAATGTGAGCTCACAACTAATCTCTGTCTTATATTGACCTGTAACTCATCAGTTATTGACCTGTAGCACACTGAAATTATTTATGTACATTAAAGCTCTTAATAGCAACTTATATGTTTTGTTAGTATCCCATCAATAGACACATAATAGTGCTGTGCTCTTGCTGTATGACATACACTCAGTGTGTGTTTAATGATAGGAGGCTCGAGTGAGTCGGGCAGTCGAGCTCATGGTGGCTCATGTGGAGAATCTGAGGAGACGACATGACAGAAACGCAGCAGAGATGGAGGAGGCCAAGAAGGTGATCCAGCAGCAGTACTACCCCAGAAACATCGACCCCGGAGCGCCTCCAGGTCTCTGACACTGCCCGTGGTGTTTGTCTTTATCCTGCTGTCTTGTGCAATATTTGACTGACCGCTGGATCTCTTTTTGTAGATCAAGAGGAAAGTGACAGGAGGAGAAGTTTTCAGCAGGTATTCAGATATTTGGTACCTTGTACCATCTAATATGAGCCCTACTAAGTTTCCATCACTTCAATCTCCCTTTTCTCACACTTTCCTCCATTAGAGCAGCAGCCGTCGAAGGGTCAGTGCATCAGTCATTTCCAGCAAAGCCCAGGTAAGTAAGAGTACGTTTCTGTTTCTGTAGTGAACTCTCACACTTTCTTTATCGTCCAGAAAATGAGCGTCCTCTTCTTTTACAGGAGAAGATAAAGCGAGACTTGAGGAAGCGGGCCTCCAGCAAGAAGTCGGTGCGCAGCTGCCCGTCTCCATCCCTGAGCTCTGAGTCCAGCTGCTCTGTCGTGACCAAGGATGACAGCAACTCAGTGGATGACAGGTCAGCTAGACTCGGTTTGTGCTTTGTATCTGGGCCACATGGTCAGGAATTGTGTATCACCTCATTTCTCTGTTTTTTCAGGCCGCTGGATCCACATGAAACTCCGCCAGAAGCTGCAGCTGCTCAGCTTCCTCCAGAGCCCTCTTCCACCCCCAACCCAGAGTGCCTCCCATCAAAAGAACTGACCACCACAAAGACACAGCAAAGCAAAACGTATGACTCAGAATCACCGTACCTGGACAAAATAGCAGAAACACCACATTGTGCAATCGGCTGCAGTAAACACCACGTTTGTTCAAGCTCTTTTATTTTGTTCCTGTTCCTCTTTGATAAAGAAATATTTCTTCTTCTACTGATTAAGTTAGTTTAAGTTCAATTAACTGTTTCAGTGTCACAAGAGATCATAGCATCATTGAATTATTTCATTTTACAGTTTTTTAGGGCAACTTATAAAGAGGACAGATGGTTACTGTTGGTGCTTCAGCCACAAACGTGCAGGATAATATCAAGGGAAGGTCAAAGATCTCGACACAAACAGACCGGCAGGAGTTGTAGTTGTTGGAGTTTGTTTGGGCCCAGACTCTGCTGCTGTTATACTGGTTCGTTTCTGGGAGTTTCTGAGGGGGTTTATTGAGAGAATGTAACTGGTAATGATATTGACAATTTCATATGACATGATTGGGTTAGGGTTAGATATATTATTCTGTATCTTCTGTCTTTTTTTGTCCATGGACTGTGGGCCTGGAAACTGTAACTTAAAGACACTTAACACCTGTACAAACTACAGCCCTTAAAACTCGGCTTTTTCTGTTATTTTGTAACTTTGCATTAATGACTGCACTGGAACAGTTTAACTATAAGCACACCTATAAAACCTGTCTTTTTTGTTATAGTTCTCCTTTGGACACATTGCGACAGAGACACAAAGGCAAATCTGCGTTATCAAAGAAGAAATCAGACAAGGATAAAAAGAGTTCAAGTATTTACCGACGGCTTTCTGCGGGCACGTAAGTCAACACTTGTTGTTTTAAAGAAATCTCTCATCAACTGTGATGATTTTCCTCTGGACAGACACTGACTGACGGCTCTCCTCAGGTATGGATCTTTGTGGAGACAACGTCCTCTGGCTCACTGGTTGTATCGCTGTCGCTGGGCGCTCCTCTGCATGTACCTGTGTGTGCTCTTCTGTGTCATAACACTGACTTACTTCTTGTTCGAAGCTTTGTGATTGAGCTTATCTATACTAAAATCTGTGACTGTATTGTAAACATCAAGTATGTACACCAGCTGAAAGTAACTGCCTCAGTCTGGAGAGCGCTTTGTATTTGAATACAAAACATTTTGATTTAAAACGTTGTGGTGGTTCATCCATGTTTCAATACTTTGTGTTCGTAAAAAATACCTCAACCTTCCATACAACAATGCCACCAATGTAACTTTCAGTTGTATTTTTTATTATAAATATACAAAAAAAATATCAAAACTGATACAATCCCATGGTTAGTAACAAAGCACCATACTGCAGTGAAAACATTCATCAAACCACTGTTAAAGGCATCAGTGATTAATTAATAGAGTTAATAGCAAATGTTAAGATTCAGCTTACTTCACGTCAGGCACATGTTAAATTTTAACTATATATATTAAAAAGAGCGATGCACTTTTTAAAGGTATATCAACATGTTAGTAATAAGTCTCTTTGCTGCAAGGGGGAAACTTTCAATAACATAAATAAAGAATAATATTAAAAATTATATTAAGAATGGGGAAACTTATTTGAAAACTACTGTAGGTGAATTTTATGTGCAAAATGTGTGCCAGCCACAAAGAAATTCTGGAAACCACAGCAAGTTTGTTTTTAAATCTTATGATCTACTTTATGAAATTGTAGAAAGCTCAATTCACCTCAGAAACTTTAGAAACATATTTTAGAAAACAATTTAAAATAAATAAAACTGGCATATGACCTTACGTTAAGTTTTAAATTAAAAGATGAGAGAGGAATGTGCTCATCAGGGTCCCGATAGGTCCACGTTTTCTGCATCGTGTCAACATATAATCTCACAGAGAGTCCAAAGCCTTAATAAATACAGAGATAAATAGAAAGGAGTAACACACATCCTACTGAACATACTGCAGAGCAGTAGATGTCTCAGCTACACTTGGCTCACAATTTCAGCATCCTCTGCAATGAACCACTGGACTGGAGTCCCGTCTGCAGCTCTCTGGAGAATCACATTACCCAAACCCTGTGAAAACAGTCATGAAATCAGTGTTCATCTTATATACAGTTATATATATTATTATATTATATATAATAATATAATAATGTAATATATTTTATATATATATAAATGGCAGCGATTAGTTGATTCTTTTAATAATCTATTAGTTGTTTCAGCCTCTCAAATGTGAGAATTTGTTTCTTTTCCATGTCTTAACATTATTGTAAACTGAATAACTTTGGGTTTTGAACTGTTGGTCAGACAAAACGAGACATTTGAAGATGTCTTGGACTGCAGGAAATGGGTATTTTTATAGACCAAACAGCAGAGACTAATCGCTGATTAAAATAATTGTAAGTTGCAGCAAATAATAAACAAATTTAGTACCAACCTGTTTGAATGGAGGCAGATGAGGTGATAAGGGGCTCTTCACACTCTGCTGATCCATGCAGCCTGGTCGTAACTTCTGCAGTTGATTCCTCTGATGCCAGGACTTCAGCTCCTCTGACACAATCTCCCTGGGCATCAGCCTGATGGCGTGGTTCGGGTACTCCTTCAGCGAGGGCGTTCGCACCAGCCTGGTGTAAGGCGGAGGGGGCTTTAGGATTCTCCTAGGGGACGATGCTCCCTCCTGCCACTGCCTTTGCTGAGGGTTGCATGCCACAGGAGGGGAGGACAGGAAGCACTTTCCCATATCCAGGTCTTGAGGGGAGAGGGGGCCATCTTCGGCCATAGCCCTCATGTAACCGGGGTTGGGCTGAGACTGGTTGTAGTTCTTGTGTGAGTTGGAGAAGCTGGAGAGCCCTTTCTTCTGTGCTCCAAAGTGGAATCCGTATGGCGGCGGGCAGAGCTTTGGGATCTCAGTGGGTCCGTCCCTGCTGGGAGAGCTAATATAAGAGGAGGAAGAGTGCTCCGAGCTGCTGTCCTCAGAGCTGGACTGGTAAGGGCGCAGAGGAGAGTACTCTGGAGAACGCACCATGAAGTCCGCCGCACAGCGCCGCTGAGGCAGCCTGGCTCGCCCTCGATTGTTCTCTGAGCTGAGGCGCTCCTTGTCAGCAGATGGCTTACTTTTGGGAAGTCTGAGGAGACACATCATGTAAAATCATATAACAGAGGTTGTTATGGTCTTTGTGCATTAGTGCTTTAATGTATCTGACTTATCTGTGTACCTGAAGGACTGGGAGTACTGTCGGCGCACGTGCAGCTCTGGGGTGGAGGGGGCGCTGGTGGAGTGGTTGTGACGCAGAGCCGAGTTCTTGAGAAACTGAGAGAGGGGAATCCTGCAGCTCTCGACAGACACCTGGGTTCCTGCTGGACTACTGCACACAACAAAAATGCAAAGGATGATGTGATGATGAGCTTTCTGTAAGGACACTGAGAGCGTTTTATCCAAACAGCTCTAAGCTTTTTAAACAAACTGAATGGAAGTCACCTCTATGAATACCGACACTAAGCTCCTTGTTTACTCTACAGTCATGTTGATAGAATAATATGTAAAATATGTATGAATTTATTGTTGTTATACATGTTTATTTATGGTTACATTTTTGTTGCCAATATATAAGTTAAAACAGCCACTCAAGTTTCACTCCACCGAGTACAGTTGTGTATTTGATGGGTTCTTATTACACTTTAGACTCCTACCTGGATCTGCTGCTGCAAGCAGACTGAGGTTTAGTGACCCTCTGGTAAGGCTGATCCAGACTGGATTCTTTCCATGGAGAGTTCTGGATAGGGGAGCGGTCGTGCCCCACATTGAGCTGGCTTGATGACTCCTGGGATGACTGAAGGGTCCCGACTGATAGCTGGAGGGGGTCTGAGTAGGAGGTGCCCAACACTGAAGGAGAGAGAGGGCTGGGCGAGTCCACGTCTATGGATGATCACAGAAAACATCAGAGGATGGTCAGAGTATGCTTTTATTTATTTTTTGTTTGTAATTTGTTGAAATGGTGATTCATTCATTTTGACTAATTTAATTCATTTTAGCACATTATCATGCTACCCCAAAATATCTCCAGTACTTTAAGTATATTTTGATGCTAATACTTTTGTACTTTTACTATTACAGAATTTGAATGCATGACTTTTACTTTAAGTTTAAAAGATCCTAGTACTTAATTACATCCATACATGTTTTTACTATATGTCTAAATCAAAGCATGTTCGTAAGAGAGTGATGATAATCTTCAATATGTGTATATGTGTATATGTGTAAATGTGCTCCCTACTCACCATCATCCAGGGCCACCACATCAGACAGGGAACTGTCATCAGACATGTTCAGGTCTGCATACAGAAAGGGATCATATTAGAAGTGTCCACTGTTGTGTTCATGAGCGCAGTGCATAGATTGGCCTGAAGAGGGCAGCAGTGTCACTCACCTTTGTTTTGGCTGGTTGAGCTTGTGATACACGGTGAGCTGCACTCGCTCTTGATCCTGTGCTTGAACACGGCCTCCTGCAGATCCTTCACTTTCTTCTCCTCTCTCTTGCACTGCTGCAGCCGGCTCTTCTTCTGTGGTTTACTGAGGTGACCCTCCAGGGAGAGTTTGCGAGCCGCCTCATAAATCTGTCGCTGAAGAGCCAAGTCAGTTTCCAGGGCTTGCAACTCTGAATCCTGGGATAAAGACAAATTCTGAGATTTAGTTTAAGCTGATGAATTGTAGTCTGCCTACTACTGCAGTCAACACTGACGCTGGCCTGTACCTGTTTATCCAGATGGATCAGACCTTCGTCCAGCTTGAAGGAAGCTCCAATCCTCCTTCTGACCCGTGGTGGCTTCTCATCGGGCATCAGAGGATAGTCTGAGGGCAGTTTACCAGTCAGCTCCTGTCAATTCAAAATAAAACAGTTGATTACAAAAAAGATAAAAGTGTGACCCTTATTCACAAAATGCAATTATAACCACTCATCTAGAGCTATTAAAGTTCCTTAGAACTTATAAAAGCATAATACAGTGTCTTGGTAGTGTTCACATGTTCATCATTTATGAGTTACTTACTGCCTCCCTGATGCAGAGCTTTCTGAGCTCCAGCAGGCAGAGCTCCAGACGCTCCTCCAGAGACTGGTGCTTCAGCTTCAGGGCTCTGGTGTGGGTGGTCAGTTCCTTCACCGGGGACGTGGGACTGTCTGGACCTGCAGAGAAGATCAGATCAGGATCTTTCTCATTGGGGTCTGTATAAGCTAATAGACTAACTTCTATTATATATACTGTATGTACTGTTTTTATTTAGACTTGCTATAGTTTAGCATATATTTCCTATGGATGAGCCAGGAATTCTTATATCCCACCTGGCATCACATTTTGTAACATACGTGCATTAACTGCAGCACTGTGGGGCAGCTGGTACTTAGTAGTACATTATAGTATTTTGTAAGCTGAAGCTGTTACATAGTTTTTTCTTCCTGCCTGCATGGTGTGATATCATGTGGGCTGTCACCAAAACTGGGTGTGTGTCATGTCTGGACTATGTGTGTCTTGTTTTAATGGTGTGTGTTCTGATTTTGTGCCTACACAGTTAATAAAATTTCCCTTTTGAGTGAACCAAAGTTAACATCTGCTTTTGCATCTGTAAACTTATTTATTGCAATTTGTGACCAATTAGATCATTTTATTTGTTAATGATTTCCTGACTGTTAAAAGTGATAAATCAACATTTTATTTTGCTGGCTGTCCCCATATCAGTAGTATTTTTGTGTTTTATATTGATCATGCAGCCCTAAGCTGTATATAACATATGTGGAAATCAGATGCTATATTTTTGCATTTTGTATTGATGTTCTTACCAGAGTGCAAGATAATCCCACTGTCTGTGTCACTGATCTCCTCTTTACTCTCTATGGCCGTCATCTCGACTATCAGCTCTTACGTTTTAGAAATACCTGTTGAAATAAGAAGAAATTGCTCAGATTAGTAAAAAATTAGATTGATTGCTCATAAGAATAGAGACTCTCCTGTTGTTTTCCTACCACATGGCTTCATTCAGGCTCGCTCCGGCTGCTTTACTTAACAAAAGTGAATGACTGGCGAGTGTCCTTTCACACACTTATCCATGCAGCTCTCCATCTCCTCCTCCTCCTCCTCTTTCTCCCTCCCCAGCTCATTCACAAAAGAGGCAGACCCCCATGGTTGACTCGGCACATGTGCGGGGGTTAATCCAAATCGTGGTGCCATGGTGACGGGGCATGGTGCGGCTGGCTAGGGGAGCGTGTCGCCATGAGGCGTGTCAGAGGGCGTTTAAAGAGCCCAGACCCCGAAAAAGAAAGCAGATGGCAGCGGGAATTACCCCACTCATGGACTGCACCTGTTCCCCCCGCGCACCCCTCCCTCGGCTCCTATTCAACCAGTGTCCAGAAAACCCTCTGGGGGCTTTGAAGTGGAAGAATGTCTCAATGCTGGGCTTGTCCACGCAGCATCAGATCACAAGGTCCCTGCTGACTCCTGTGCAACACTGCCCATTTCACTAACACACTTTCACAAACAGGCAGAGCACAATTAATGTTTATGGCCTGCTCTGGTCCATTGTCGCTTTCCACTAAACATCTGACTGACAATAAACAAAAACGAGATGTGGAGAGGAACGACAGCAAGAGGAGGAAAACAATGACAACAACAAATTAGAGATAACATTTAGAGATAAGTCAAGGCTTTTAAAACCTGGGCAGGAGGTCTTTGTGGAACTGTTTTGGTGAAATCGCCTTAGGACGAAAGAGAGTACTCTATTTCCTACATTTTTTGAGGTCAATCAATTTATTCTGGATCTCACATGTCTGCCACAACCCTCCCAAAAGCGCCGGCGGATCACAAGAAATGATGTTAGGGGCACTAACATGATTAAAGGATATTATTAGCCAGCCTTGCTTCAGTACCACACATTAAAAAATGATCATAAACTTGATGACTCCCAGAGCAGTCTCTGTGTCAATATCATGTAAACAAAAACTCATACCAGAAGTAAATGATGTGTTATTATGGGGGGGGCAAGGTGACTTAGTGTTGCTAAGCCCGCTGTGTGTACTCATCAACTCTCATCCTCTGTGTTTGGAGATTGATATCAGGCCTTTTCCTGTAGGGACCAGGAAGACACAGAGCCTGTGTGGATGAAAAACCTCCTCTAGCAGGATATTATTGTGTATCCCATTGGCCTGACCCATTCAGGACAGCAACTCATGTGAACTGACGCAGCTATGGGCAGCCGGTAGCACAATGAGGCACAGGCAGCTCGAGTCAGTAAAACAACACTACAACAAAGGCCCTGTATCCACCAACCAGCCTCAATAATCTGCTGTGGCCGCAATATCTGCTGACAACTCTGCTTCAGGCCTGAGCAGCGTTGTTGGGCCAATATTGAGACAAGGCTGCAGTGAGATGTGGGGAAAGGAACAGTGCTGAGTTTTTACTGTGCAAGGTCGAGGGCCCGCTGTACTCTCAGACACACGGCTCCATGCTGCAGCAATCGAAAACTAAAAGACGTCAACAGGAATCCAGCCTCGTAATCAGAGACAGGCAGGGTAATGTGGGATTTACCCACTTACACCCCATAACTCTCTGAAGACTTTCACAAGAGTTTGTGGTCGGAGGTCTAAGCTGAGTGAGTGGGTGGGTGGGTGGGTGAGTTCGGGTAAAACAGCAGATCTCACTAGAAGTTGCAGCTTATTGCCAAGACGTTTATGCCATTTGTCATAGCTTTCATAAAAGCCTGGAGTCGTGGGAGTGTTGAAATTATACTTTTAGGGAGAACCAGAAAACAATACTGTTCTTGATGGAGTCCAACAGGCATAGCAGTCCATTTCCTGAAGGGAAAGCTCCTGATAGCACAGTCTCCACCCAGGAGACTTGATTGATGTAGTCATAACATCTTAATGTCTGATCACCGCTAATTACGACTATCTAGGAACATGTCAGGGATGGGAGCTGATCATCCCACCCATCCTCGCTGCTCGCCAGACCGTGACGGTGCAACATCTACGGAAGTGGGTGTTTATGGCAAGAGATCATGATGTGGATTCACTGTCTCCCAGACTTCCCCCACCACCCTTTCCCATGAGCCTTTGGAGCAGCGATCTCCTGGAATGCCGCCACCACCACCGTGCTCATTACCACTGTGGTCGGCCCTGGAATTACCAATGGGGACCAGCTTCACCGAGGAAACAGTGAGGGATGCCTGAAACCAGACCGAGGCCCGTTCGAACCCTGTAATTAAGATTCGCCACTGAGTGCTGATACTATGGAAGAAACCAAACGACTTTACAGCATGCCTTATTTCAGAGTCTGATGAAAAGCCAAAATCCATTCAGCAAAATGGATCCACTCTGTACACAATACGGGCTGCTGGAAGAAAAAGTGCATCAATGTGGGGGAGCAGCAGCAGCAGCAGCAGGGAAAAAAATGAAGTGTTTTATTACAAAGCGCGTCACTGGAGTCAGATCTTTGTCTTAAGAAGCAGTGCTGAGTGTGGAAACTCCACGGTCTGCAACAAAATGCAAACAAGGGGCTGTGTGATAGCATAAAAAGGTTATGAGCAGTCTGTATCTGAGGCTCTCTTCAGTGTCAGCCTCTTTTCCTTTGTCAGATCAACACCATTAAGTAGTGCAGGGGTCTTAGTTTGTCAGCAGAGACAATGCAGGGGTAATAAGCACCACATCGGCCTGCTCTCAGTCACTGGAGGCCATATGCTGGCCAGACACACCAGCCCCTTCACAGCCCAGCGACAGCGTAAATACAGAGGGCAAGAAGAGATGCTCCATTGTTCTCCAGAGGCTGAAGGGCTGGCCAGGGATCATGACACCTTGTCCCTCTGAGTCATCATTTCTGAGGCCTCTGAATGGACACTGATGGTCATCCCATGCCATTGGCAGGATGTGGTTACAGCTTTTCACCCACAAGTACCCACCGTTGACAAAAGAACAGGGGGGACTCCAGGGGCATAACAGCATAGAGGTGTTGTGTTTAGCACCCGCAGCAGCACTGCATGTCTATCAACATGTGGACTGTAGGAGATTGTGTTTATTCTGCTGTCGCGGACACAAACAAATCCCACCGACCAGCACGTTGCCCCACAAAAGCCCTACAGTGAAAGCAACCTGTTCATAATGTAGGTACAATACACAGCAAGTGACTAAACTGCAGAGACTCAACACAGTCTTCCAACACAGCTGTTTTGTATTCATTCATCATAATTGCTTAGTCTGATAGTTTCAATACTGAGTGGTTTTAACTCTTTGAATACACATACCTTTATTTATAAGTAAGTATTTAAGTATTTAAGTATTTTTTGGAAGATGAAGAGAACTTGTGGAAAAAGCACTTAGATTACTTTACTAAATAAAAATCGTAATACCACACTATGAAAATATACCATTACAAGTCCTGCTTGTAAAATGTTACTCGAGTAAACGTACAGAAATATCAACAAAATGTAAAGTATCAAAAGTAAATGCATCAGTTTATTTGCGTTGTGCATGTAAAATGTTGATCTTTTAAGTGCCTAGCAACAATAGCTGTTAAATACATGTAGTAAAGTAAAAAGTACAATATTTCCCTCTGAACTAAAGTGTTGTCGAAGTTGAGTAGTGAGTAAATGTACTTTAGTAGTTTAGTTACTTTACACAACACTCATTATAATGGCATGTGAAAGTGTTTCCATTTGTAAGTGTAATAATACCCGCAATAGATAATTCAGTTAAGCTAATATCTCTATAAGTTTACTGACTTATAACAACATCTCACACGTTAATAAATACCGGTTGCACTGCTGTTGCCACTCCTTCCCTGTAAGGTGTATCCCCTTTTTATCACATTGTTAACCTACAGAAATAATTGTGTTCATACCTTGTAGTGTGATATCTGCTCCTCTACAGCATCCTCTCTGAGGCAGCAGGAGTTCTTCTGACTTTCTCTGCTCCGATGTGAGAGTAGCTTGGGACATCTGTTTCAGGCAACTCAACCTTCTCGTTAAAGGGGATGAGCTTAATTAATTATTTCTAAAAGTATGTTTTGGTAAATCATTTCTACTTATGTTTACTTAAGCCGACATTATTCTTTCCTAAACTATCTGAAATGTATTTATTGTCTCTATGGTACGTTTTAACATGGAAGAATATATTTTTTGTGCCAGTGATCCCCCCAGACTCGTTCACAATGGTGTGGTCCGACGCTGCTGACTTTCCAGACACGCTCTGAGTATTGACACAGCACGCGACTTACTGAGGGGGCTTTTAATTTGAGAAAGGGGCACAAAGAAAGAGGAATGGCCGGAGGGAGAGATGAGTTTTTGGTAAAAACCCAGGACAGCTGGTAAGCAAGTGGTGGTGGTGAACAAGACCACACTCACCTCTTCCTTCCGCCATGATGATGAGCATTCACCCCTTCTCAGAAATCCCAGAATACATAAAAACATAATTATATTGTAGACCGATGTAATTGTTGATTAACATAGACAGGAATAAGATTTATTTAAACAAAGATGTATATGGCCTTCTTGTACCTTTTTGCTTACTTTATTCTTTATTGTGTCACCTGCACTGGTGACTAGTAACTATTGCAGTGCAGAAATTAAATTATGATTATTAATGTGTATGCTGCAAATGTGGGGCTAATTTTAATTTATTTATATATATTTTATATAGTATCTTATATACTGCTGGGTAGCTTGTGAATTTCCCTGAACAGATCAATAAATCCTTATTGTTATAATAGCATTATAATGTATTTGTTGATCATATTTTGTAGCATTAAGCTGAAATAAACTAATAAAAAAGCATAATATTTGCCTCTGAATTGTAGTGGAGTAACATAAAGTGAGTTAATGTACATTTCTTGTACATTTCTACAGTCTGTTATGAGCATAGAAAATATTGTATGCTATTAAGTTATCCCAACAGCTCCACCTCACCCTGCTACAACATTAAAATTCTGCTTACATGGTAATTTATCAGTACCAATAATACAGTATTATATATATACAATAATATATATATTATATATGCAATATAAAAATAAAAAGGCTATATAACAATCTCATTTTAAATAATGAGCATGTTTACTTAACATTAATAATTTAAGTACAATTTGCTGATTACATGAAGATCTAATCGTTCTTTCCCTAATGATTATGTGTAGTAGCACATTGGGTTAGTGTGTGTAGCAGCACATTTGTGTATGAGATGTGTTACTTATTCTAAATATAAGTCTGAAATAACAAACTGGCTACTTTTTTATTTCCCTTTAGGCTTCCCTGACTCTTCCAAATGTCTCCAGTGCTTTAACCAGGCCCTGGGGTATTCCTAGCCTATATATCCTGAAAAGCCTCCTCCAGATGGCCTGTGCTTTCTCCTCTCGTCCCGTGATGGAATGAAAAGATCAGCTAATTAAACAAAGTCCCCATATCCATGTGAAAGAGCCGTGAGAGTCCTCAGGGAGAGGAGCTGCATGCAAATCAATCCTCAGTGCTTTGAATTGTGTCCAACAAAACAGCACATCTCTGCAAACCATAAAGCCTTTTATTTCCACAGCACACGGACACACTAAAAATCAAAAGTCATGACAGAGACAGATAAACAAACATACAAATGTGTAACACATTTCTATTGATACAAAACAGTTCTGTTCAGAAATAGTTGTTTATTTTAAGAATCATATTGTGATCTTACAGAAAGTAAAGAATCAGACCGATGTGGTCCTTCCACTAAACAAATAATAAAACAGTCTCCTTTAATCCAGGAAGAAGCATGAGAAGTTCATTTGACAAAAAAAAAGAATAATGACCATAAAAAACATAAAAAATATCCACTCTCTTAACAATAGTAGTTTTCCTTTAACAAGTATTGATCCACATAATTGTGAATATGAACTGAGCACTTCTTCTCCCTCATCAGAAACAGAACTGTGACAAAGCTTTTGGAAGACATGTCTAAGTGTGGATTATATGTTTCCTGGTATGATTCTGTGATATTTCTTTATATGTGACTCCGCTGACAGTGAACATGCAGATAGGGCCACAGTGGTGAGATGCTGCAGGAGCTGATGGGAACCTTGGGGGCCTCACTGCTCAGACATCTGCGTTCGCCTCAGATTGTCCTTCACACGGACGAACTCTGGGATCTTCTGCTGGTCCTCCCTCCGCCTGATCTCCTCCTGCTCATACTGGGAGAACAATGGACAACTCAGTGTACTGATGTAATATTATATTACATATTAACATTAGACTGTTAATACTGATGCATCAATATGCAGCATCTGACTGGAGCAAGTTTGAGCTGTTATATAAGACATCATAAATAAAAGACATAACAGCTCACATGAGGCGCAAAATTACATATAAAATACAACAATAAAATGAAAAGACATAAAACATGAGTAAAAATAATAGCCACGCAATAAAAAGCAATCAAAATAAGAAATTAAATCAAGTACATAAAGTCGACATCTTACTAGGTGTCAAAGGCCACAGAGAAGAGACAATGACAATGCATTTGTTAGTTGTTGTTAGTAGTTACCAACAACTAACTGTGACTCATTTTTCTCTAACTTCTCTCTGATATTTGCTTTTTGTAAAATATTTGATAATTTAACATCTTTGTGTGTTGAACCATTACCGTATCGTAAGTGTAGTGGAGTATTAAGCACAATATTTCCCTGTGAAAGGCAGTGAAGCAGAAGTAGAAATAGCAGAAAATGTTTATACTCAATTAGATATTCTTCAAATTTGTGCAACAAGCAACTTTCATTTCGTGTTGATTCTGGCGGTCCCTGTGGACAAAAGTGGTAGTGTTTCCTCTGCCTTGTTTCATTGATTTCAAGGGGAATCTGACCAAATCCTAACCAGTGTCAGGCATTTAGAATAACAACAGAAATAGCCAATCTTCTTGCTGATGGTCTCATTTGCTTGTGTTGGTCATATAGAGGCATTTATATTACTGTAGTACAGTTGACTAATGTACTGGTGTTGGCCCTTAATACCAGATTAAATGCAATATTATTTACTATTAAATGTCTCTCAGTTTTTAGTCATGAGCCTCTGACCTCTTCCAACTTCAGCTGCCTCTTGCGGAGCTCCGTCTCCAGATCTGAGGGCCGCCGCTGTGCCATCTCCTCCTCCTTGTGCAGCTCCAGTCTTCGCTGCTCCAACACTCGCTTCAGCTCTGGTTTCTCCTCCAGCAGCAGGCCCCTGCAGGGTCAGTCAGAGTCACACTTACACACACAACCCAGTCTGCCCTGCTTTGACTCAAATGTTGCCCACTTTAAGATCAGAGAGTGTTTTTAGTGTGTTCTGCTGTACCGTTTATGGCTCAGGAGCAGCTCTCGGTGCAGGGTCTGGTAGCTGGGTGGCTCCACCGGGGAACCGTTCAGTCTCCTGGGCAGAGCGCTCTCATCGAAGTCTGCTGTGGACTGACGGCACAGCGGAGGGTGGGTCTCTGAGAACACAAAACAACTCATATCACTATGTTCACTTTAACTGTGAACTCTGCAGATCTAAAGAGATAATTTTCATAGTATATACAGCATTTACAGCATTTTACATACATAAAACATGGGATTTGACCCATCCTATATACATTACTATAGATAATGTGATCAAAATAGTAAATAATAATTGTGATCAAAATAGACACTAATTGGTCTATTTTATATGTTGTTAATGTGTGGGTTTTCAGTCAGTTTTTCCTGTCAGCAATTAAATAAATGAATTAAAATCAACTGTGATTTAAAAAACAAAATACATGTCAGGTAAGTACTAGCTAATTCTAGCAAACAAATCCAATCAAATATTTGATTGACATATTAATCAATCTTTCATTCAAATAGATTGATTGATCTATCAGATGAAACAACGACATTTGAGTGATACTTCTATCAATCAAATATTCAAATCTACAGTATCATCAACTGTATTTGTGCTTGTTTTAATGTTTAATGTTTGTTCAGCATTTATATGTTAAAATACCTTTTTTGTGATGTCCATATCCTGTTTTCTGTTGGTCAAAGACAACAAAAGATTGTTGTTAACATGTTAACATTGATGTACCAAAACTGGTTAGTCAAAACACTTGATCTTTGCCTGATTGGACAGAGGGTATAATTAGATACTGTAAGAGCAAAAGGGGACACTGCCCGCTGTTCTGCTTAAGCAGGTGAGCTTTGTTTACTGGGAGCACAAAGGTGACGTAACAGCTCTTGTCTTGTCTTGTCTTTGGCAAAACACAACACAAGTTCAACCAGTAATTAAAAAAGTAAATGATGTAAATATCTCCATTTATTACACTCATAACAACACTAGATTAACACTTGACATTGGCATGACATCCTGCTGTAACACAATCACACAGATACCTCTGCCACACCCACTGAAACCAGATAACCAGGAGGCTAAGATCACATTGAGCAGATGGCAGATACTGTTGTAAGTGGTCTGGAAATGTCACATTTCTTTTATAAACGGCCCTGTAGCTGCCCATAAGATCCCCAAGCTTTCCACCTGAGATGCTCGGAGCTCAGAAGTCTATTTGGTGTGGTGCCTTTTACTGTTCCTGTCACCGACATAAGCCTCCAAATCCTTTCCCTCTCCTGGCCCCTGCAGAGAGGTTGAGCTGGGTTGAGATATCCTGACTGGTGTCTGATCTGATGGACGCCATTGTTCCACTCAGAGCCTGAAGGGCTGGGATGGATTCCAGCAAAATCACTCCTCCTGATCTCTCAACTTCTCCTTCTCCCTATAGAACAAACGCTCTCACCTGTATTATGACTAGCTGACTCAGAGATCATTTTACCTTCGGTAGCATCTTTCTTTTATACATTGGAACCCGAAACCTGTTTATACCTAAACTGTATATTAGTCTAATGTAACTGCTGTTCAAACTGCTCATGCTGAATATATATTGGCATATTAAGATCTATCCCTTACTGTTTATTCCATATACAATGTACATTACTCTGCACTTGCTCTTCTGGTGAGATACTAAAGTATATTTCCTTGTCTCAGTACTTGTGCACTGTGCAATAAAACAGATTTTAATATGATCTAAAACATGTGTCTCTATCAGTTTGATGAAGTAATATGAATAATAAATAAAGAGCAACAAGATGCTCATGAGTTTAAGATATACACACATCATAAATCTGTGTAGCTTTCAATGTGGATAAAAAAACAACACACACTGCACTTTTCATCTGAGATAAAGCAGTTTTACTCAGGAAGGCCTACTGTAACGTTTCAGGGCATCTAATTCAATCGTCTTTATCATCCTCATCTGACAGTTTAATGTTTGAATGTGATGTGAAGAGGGACAAAAAGTCTGTTGGACAGACTGCGACTGTAAACTCACTGAGGTTACTCGTACTGGCTGACTGAAGTCACTGAATCCTCTGACAGATCAGATCAGACGTTGACCTCTCACTCACCAGACAGGAGTAAATAATTGAGAAAACCATTTACAAGAACTCACTTTTCTTGCAGTTGACCCCTCCATGGCAGGATAGCGGAGGTCCACTGTTTCTGTCCGATAACAGTGTTGCTGTTTTAGTCCATTGTTGAAAAGAATCACACCTCCTCACATAGTCTGCCTGTTGTCTGTTTCTTTGCTGCGTCCAGGTCCAACATATTGCTGCTGATGAAGGATCCTCAGACTCAATGTGCCCCCTAGCAGTAGTCAATAGTGGTAGTAGAATCGGAAATCTTATTACGCCATTCAAGCTTACCTCACAACCCCCACAAGGCACAGGATGTTAGATTAGTTAATTGCCGCAGACACAAATACAGCTTAAAGCCAACCTAGCACCTCACTAGCTAGTACCAGTCGGCTCCTCCACCACCGAGCCCATTAATCCTGACAGAAAATAAAAAGAAAGGCTTTCGGGCAAACCAACACTGATTCACTCTTTAGTTAATTGGTTCTTATTGCTTAGAGACATGCCGTATAAGTATAACAATTAATTACGCTATGTTGTGTTTCCTACACTTGAACTCTTTCACTAATTTTTTACATGGAGATGGAAGTAATCTAAACTGTGCATCTTTGGGCACACACACTGTCTTATCCTTGGTTTATCTGTGTAGTCTCTGAGCATCAGAACCACTACAGTCCAATATTACATAGAACAAACTTTATGTATTTGTTTGCTTCTCTGGTTGTTGGTTAATTTAATGGGACAAAACAGACAAACGTTAAATAAAAAAAAGAAATGCAACAGTTTGGCCTTTAAGGGTAAAAACAACTAAAACAACAGAACAGACTAAACAGACTGTATGTATGTGAATGTGTCTCTGAGTGTATTTATTGTACATGACTGTATGCACTGACATACAGTAGGTGTATGTGTGTATTTATATGTGCGTGTACATACATATATAAGACCAGTTCATTCATTCAGTGTTAACATATATGCCTTTATAAGCCACTGTTTCAGCAGTGTATTGAAATTGTTAAAGGTTTTTACAGTAATTCATTTGTGAACATTTTAATGAAGAACCTTGTTAATAGATTAAATGACTGACTTATATTTGCATACTTTATTTATTCATTCACCATTGGAGGTCTTATTCCTGAATCAGGGCAAATGTATTGAGACCAATAGTTTAAGTATTTCACAGGCATTTAAAATGCAGTTATGTATATCATGTTAAATTTTGCAAAGATGACTGCCTTTTGAAATTACATTTACAATCAATTTATCAGTTGTAAATGAATCCCTCCCCTACCATAGGCTATTTCTGTAAATTATTTATAATTCCTGTCTGAACTGAATGTGTCTGTTTCATTTATTTTGTTCATTTTTGTTTATTATTAATAAGCTTTTAAATTCTTATTTGTATTTGTAATTTGTAAAACAGTGTAAAACTGTAGTTTCTTCTTTATTGCAAGAACTATCAAATACAAAAGGAGAAAGAAAGGGAAGTATTTTGGCCACATGGGGTCGCTATACAACTATTTTCTGCTTTTAATCTCCCATAATTCCCTGCGGCATTTAGCTTTAAAAGCAACCCGGATGTTCCTGTTTCTCATAGTTTGAATGGCTTGTATGTGCGAGAGTCTGGTGAGTGTTTGAGTGAGTGAAAGAGTGAAAGAGGAGTGTTTGAATGTTTGATTGTGTGCTTCTATATAAAAAAAAAACCTACACACTGATCTTATTTGATCTGGTCTGAGTTTGGCTCGGCTCGGACCGGAGATGATAGGAAACCCGCTCGCTAGTCTCCATGGCGATGAGCAGCTGGCATTTAACATCCAGGGCCTCCACGCTTTTAAGTTGTGGGCAGAGGTGATGAATTGATCAGATATACTAGTTCTGGCTGAGTTTCGGGTTCGTCCCCAAGCTTCACAATGGACAATGAGTAAAGAGGCGATTCTGATCTGACCCACAACCGGAAAAGCAGCGAGGCGACCCGGACCGTAGTTTAACAGAAGCTCCGGACGGTAGTTTAGAAGAAGCCCCGGACGGTAGTTTAAAAGAAGCCCCGGACGATAGTTTAAAAGGAGCTCCGGACGGTAGTTTAAAAGAAGCTCCGGACGGTAGTTTAAAAGAAGCTCCGGACCGTAGTTTAAAAGAAGCCCGCGACCGTTTAAGAATGCTCGGCGTTCTGCTCACGAGACACCGCCTGGCTCTAAAACAAGATGTCGTCCGGTGTCGGCAGCGTTTCTTTTTAGCGACTGTTTACAGGCACTTTAGGGTAGCTTAAAGGGCGTGTATTTATACGTGTATTTGTTCGGTAAGTTAAGAGGTAGTTTAACAGATGGACTAACAATGAAGACTTAACTCTTGAGATGAATGAAAATCCTCCAGAATCACAGGCCTGCAGTACAGTGGTTAAAGTTACTGTCACCATGGTTACATCACTATCCTACCTCGCGGTTCATAGACGTTGGTAATAAACACTGCGTTCCATTTTTAAAGGATACATTCATACTTTTTTAAAAGTCTATCTGTATTTAAAGTATTTGGGTGCTGTAATCATTCTGCTTGACATAGAGTAGTAAGTGATTTCCATGTAAGAGATGGAGTACAAAAGCCCAATCCCTTTGTGCAAAAGTAAATAACACATACTGTATCTTGTGTTGTTTTTTTCATTACAAAATCTTTGTGTTGCTATCCTTCTGCTGCAGCTCAGCAAAGAAACACAAAAGGGGAAAATTGCACTAAACTGTTGAAGATAACCACTTGATTTAACGAGACTGCTGAAGCCTGAGGAGTGTGGTTTTGCAAAGGACTGTAGATTTTGTCCACCATCTTGTGTAATTGAATCAGTTGGCCTACAGTGACCAGGTACATTGGAGCATGTCAGCATTGTTTTAAGGGGGGGGGGGGATTATTCTTTAATACCCCAGCCCCTCGCCCCAGAGTCTTTTCTCATGTGCAACTGAATTCATCAGTCTCCCTCTCTTTAAATAAATAAAATTAAGGAACAATAGGTGCACACTCGGTTACCAGTTTATTATAATACAGTTTATACACGTTAGACCGCCTTCCTATTAGGAAGGTGTACCTGAAAGACTGGCAACTGAGTGCACAACATATGTACACATGTTGCATCGGGCCTGGGATTATAGCCTGTATAAAGTGGCTTAAAAGGTTTAACTCTATTGTTCTTTATAACATTAAAATTGTGGCTCTTTTATTCAAATAGTTATTTGACAAATCTGTCCAAAGTTATTGGAGTCTGTCATTTCCTTTTTTTGGAAATTAAAACCAAGTGTACAATGACAATAAAATCTTTGTCTTCATTTTGTGGCTGCATCATTCACTCATGTCTCCTGAGATTCTCAATGTCTATCCAGACTACTTTCTTTATACTCTACAGTACACACAAGCATATTCAATATCATAAATCCTGCTGTGATCCTCTCACATATGTTTTACTGGACATATCTGATGCAGAATTTCAAGCTGTCTTAGTCTAATATCAACTTAATATTTATCACCTGCTAACCAGCATCAGGTGAGTTTTCAAGTTGTGATTTTAAGTATAGTTGATGTTCTAATAGGTGTCCAATCAATTAAATATCACATGGGTTTGATTGCAGGTTGTTTGAGGACAGTCCCCCATTCCAAACTTATTTATGAAGAATAAAGTAGAGTGACAAGCAAATTTTTGTACAAATAAATTTTTTTTCCCCCTAAGATGGATCACACTTCTATGGCTTAATTACACTGAATCAACACAATGACATACAAGGAATAACACAATCAATACATTTCTTAATGGAATATTTGGTTAAACTAATGTTATAATTGACTAGAAATCAAAACAAAACTACTCCAACTTGAATAGACTGGAAGGACAATAAATCAACATTTATGGATTTTAAATGTAACAAGTTATTCAGACGTTCGCGGACAGTTTTATTGATCAGTTTATACAACTGACACAGTCTCGCGATACAGAACGTTGGCGATTGCGGCAGTTTGTGTATACACGTGACCCCTGTCGTCCAATCAGCGCGCGGCAACGACTCAGCGAAGCGCGCGAGGGAGAACGAACGTGCCTGTTGTTCATGCTGTAGTTCCTAGTTTTTTTTGTTTCTATCCTCCATGGCGGAGTCCAGCAAGAAACGGCGAACCAGTCATGCCAACACCAGCTCACAGACTTCTAGTAGCAGCCTAGCGACCATGTTAACGGGTCGTCAGCCGGACGGAACCGGAGAAGTGGGTCGTTTTGTGGAGGGCTCCATACTTCGCCTCACCATGAAAAACTTCCTGTAAGTTACTGCTCCTCAGCGGGCAGTCAACAGAGCAGCGTATACAAAGCGAAACCTAACCACCTGGACGAGTAGGAATAGACCCTGATTGTAGCTAGACTGCTAAACTGGCAAACATGTTAACATATTCGTCCTGTCTGGCACTGTAACAGGATGCTGTGGCCTCTGATAAATATGACCGAGTTAAGGTGTTAGAAACCGGCTGAACGCAGGGATGTGTCAGTGGCTGCACGTTAAACTGATGTATTCACACTGTAGGTCACAAAGTCAAGTCCAATTCAGATATTTCATCCTAATATCTTGAGAGAAGAGACTAAGTTCCAAGATCACCATTGTTTTATTTGGCTGGTACAGAATAGGTCACTGAACACAAACACATTTATAATAACGTTAATAGTAATTAACATTCTTATTATTACTACTATTATATTAAATGTTTTCCCTACCTTGTAGGCCTAGTACACATTCTTTATGTGAGAGACACTTTTTGTTTCTCTAATGTTGCTTCACTTGTCAACAGTGCAGTGGTCTCCGTGGGTTTCCCTAGTATAAGTAAATGATAAATTACTTATAACTTAATAAACACCAAAGTCACACAGTAACACAAACAAAATAGATGTAGCAGTACTCCTGTTCTGTGAGGTAAAATTACAGTTTTTTTAAAGGAGCCTGATGGCTTTAGAGAGAGCGATATAAAGCTTCAGTTTCCTGTGAGAAAGGGCTGTCTGACGGCAAGGTAAAGCAGAGGAAATATTCTAAAAATACTAAACACAGCTGATATTCTTTTGCAGTGCATTGCCTGGCTTCTGTGCTGGTACTGGCTGTGCTGAGTTTCTCTGTTGTTTTGTCTGTGCAACCTTGGGCTGAAAGTAGATTGTAAATCTGTTTTAAGAAAAATAAAATGTATAAAGTTTTGGTACTTACGATGCTATTGAATGTATAGTTAATGAGAGATTGTATCGTTTTAAACACATAGTAATAAAGTAACAATACTTCTGACAACCGTACTGTGCCACAGTCTGGTACAATAGCCATGCTACAGTTCTCCCTTCATGAATTTTACAATGTTCAGTTTTTGTTGAGATTGTTTCAGAGAGATGTTTCTACTTTAGGGTCATTTCGGAGGCTGTAGTTACTAAATAGGTAGACTTGGCTAGACTAACTATTAGTTTAATACACTTTAGCAGCACCACGACAAACTACAGCCTCCAAAATTACCATGAAGTTGGGAGGTTAGGATTGGCTATAAAAAGACTCTTGGAGTCTTCAGTTTTTTTTGGCTGTCAAAAAAGTTGAACTTGTACAACCAGATGAACGGGGTCCTAAAGTTTAAAGGACTGTCTGTGTTGTAAGTATTTAGTCTCCAGGCCTTCCAGTTTGGGCAAGCAGGGCCTAAACAGGCGATTGTCATTGTAACAGGATTGTGTTTAGTAAAAGTCTTAGTAAGATGATCTTAATAAGCGTTGTCGAAAAATAATTAGTGCCTCTGTTCTTCACACACAGAAAGTAATGTGATCTAACTAGAGAACCAAATATTTTATGTGTCTAGAAAGTAAGACAATTGCAGCATTTTTCCCACAGAATTGTTAAGCAGAAGTGGTAAACCACCCTACCTACAAATTTAGACAGTAGATGACAGCCTAAACAATAGCCACACATAGTATTTTCTGTATGAAATGGCACTGCTATCTTAAGATGAATGTTTTAAATCATAAAAGTATATATTTTTTATTGTTTTAGTCAAAGTAGCTATAAAACACTGAAGGAAAACCTTAAATATATCCCTTTTTATTCTGGCAGGACCTACGACTACTCTGTGGTGTATCCTGGACCTAATCTGAACATGATTGTTGGAGCCAATGGAACTGGAAAGTCCAGCATTGTGTGTGCCATTTGTCTTGGTCTGGCTGGCAAGACTGCTATCCTGGGCAGAGGCGACAAGGTAAACACGATAACTGGTAGATGTACTCTGAACTTGTTCAGGCCTTGATTTTCACACAGTAATTACAATTTTGATGATTATTAAAAGGTTTTGTTGTTTTTTTCCTTGTAGGTTGGGCTCTATGTCAAACGTGGATGTCATAAAGGATTCATTGAGATTGAACTGTAAGTGTAAGACAGGTTGGACACACATGGTTACTTTACTAATAGTCCGCTATAAGACAGGTGAAATACTTGAGTTGCATTTATTCCAACATTCCTGATGAATTTATTTAGAAATCATGAAATATTATTCTTGTTAACATAACTCATACAGACAGCTCAACCTTAAATGTTACTACTGTTTTTCCAGAAAGTGTATCTGATCGTTTCTGGCTGTATCTAAGTGTAGAATCAAACTCTGTCGTTATTCCAGGTACAAGAGTGGTGGTAATTTAGTGATTAACAGAGAGATCCACGTGGAGAACAACCAGTCGCTGTGGATGCTGAATGGAAGACACTGCAACCAGAAAACAGTAGAAGAGGAGGTCAAGGCTTTGCGTATCCAAGTCAGCAACCTCTGCC